CTTTACAGGTATTGGATAATAAAATCCACACGAACCCCTGAACGTTTCGTAACCCTATCTGCGAGAGAAGAGCTGCTTAAACACTTGTCCACTATATTAGGACTCAAGCTTTTCCAGACGTCTTTCTTATCAGTCACTCAGTTGATAAAAATAGCGAAACGATATTGGACAGCTGGCATCTTGAGCGTTAGCCATTTGTTCATGGCCGTGAGAGTGGGACTTATTTCATGAACTGTTAGCACTAATCGTTCAGTTTTTAACAACTGAAAATGCGCACGTGGCCTTTACCTCATTTTTAAATTAAGACCCTCACGAGATCTCTTTTACACCCCACAAGATTTTTAGTACATGCGCCAGATTTTATGAAGTTGAAATCGTCCAAGGTAACGAGAGGAAAACGATTAACACCTCTATCCGCTGCTCCCGCTAGTGTTCAAGAAATATCTTTACAAAAGAGGCTACGGTATGTTCTAATGAAAGCCAGAAATAGCAATGGACCTTGTCACACGTGTGGCACGCTTTGAAAATGCTTTTGTGTTGTAATCAGCTATTCTCTTAATATTACATTGACCAGATGTTTCTTAGGCGGTTGGTATGTCAGCTAATATGTTCGCGGCTGAGAGACTGTCCAAATATATTAAAATTTGGCCGAGAAGAAATCATTGAAATAGCGGAGATTTTTTTTAACAGCACAAGTGACCCAAGGTACTATTAATAGTTTTGTTGTTTGTATATGCTGTGTCTTTCATTTTCTCGATCTTCAACCGAAGAATCTTTACCAGTCTCAAACAACCGCACTCAGAATGAATGCAACATGATTTTTTTTGATTAAGTAAAAATTAAAAGACAAATACAAAACAGAACAAAAAGTAAAACAACAACAACAAGAAAAACAAAGTAATACAATACAATCCCAAGAATTTGAAAACATGCTTTCTTTTATTTGCATTTTGCATGCAATTATCTACATTTTTCAGCAGAATACTGACATCACTATCACCCACACAGTCACAGCTGGTGGCACATGGGTTTACTCTCCTGGCTATTGCACATAGTAAAGAGTGTAATTCTTATGGCAAAAAATGTCTGTTAAAGCTAAAATAGTTTCCTATCTAATTTTTCTTCAATTGAAGGGATTGTACCTCATAGGCTTGTGAGAGAGACAACATTCTAAGGTGCAAGCCTGTCAATCAAACTGCACAGAGTGGGGAAGGCATTTCATGCTAATAATACCAAACTTACTTATTTTTTCCCCTTGGAAGAAACACGTTGAAGAATACTCTGACACAGTCTTTTCAATGCCTCTGGTGATTTGATCATAGCTAGCAAGGCAGAAAACCCATAAAATCGTCTCTTGGACAGGAATTCCTCTTCATCAACAACTTTCTCGTCATCGATAACATCCTCGTCTTTGACTATTCTACCGAGGCTTTTCAAAGGCACACCAATGCTATTCACAGATCTTGACCTGGGAGAATCAGTTGATGCCTCAAATTTGCAACCCTCATGCACGTCATTTCTAGTTTCTCTGGCTTCTGAATCAGTTTCACTAATAACACATTCTGGGAATTTTTTTCTATATTGTTGCAGTCGTGCCAGCCACTCTAACCAATAAGATTCACACATTTCCTGTGACAGACAGTGAACATCTGCTGGGTCACCGTTTTCATATGCAATAACTATCACTCCATTACAAACCTGTAGGTGAGAAAAATTATAATTATAGTTTTCTAATGAGAATGACATAAGAAGACTAATCAAAGCTTTATCTCAACCCACTTACTCCAAAGATCTCATTTATCTATTAATTTTCCCATACAATTCAATGTCTGCCACACAATTCTTATAATGCTAATTTGGAGAAGTTGGTATTGGATCAACTAATAATTACCTAATTTATTTATTTTTTTTAATTCTCATCACTTTCCTGCTTGATATCATGATGACATTGTAAGGAGAAATTCTGTCTCATGGAGTTGAAGGATTAACAACTGTTGCACAGCCTACAATTTCTGCGAGTTGTCCTAAAGTCTTGTAAAATTCATGAAAACAAAACAAACCAAACCTGAAATGGATAGTTCTCATCAAAATTTACAGCACCAGCGTAAGCCACAATTTGTTGAGGGTAGGAATAGCAGTCTTTGAGGTTAGTTTTGTGTTTTGCTGAAGTCTTCCAGTCTATCACACTCAGTGTACCCTTATACTCTGCAATAAGGTCAAGAGTCCCAGCATATTGTAACAAAGGATGCGCCACAGCACTCTCAACAGCCACTACATTTGTAACATCCTTTAACACATGTTTGACACTCTGCCAATATCCTGCATCACTTGAACCTTCATCTAGAACTGGTACATTACTGCTGTTAAAGTACAGCTGAACAGCCTATTAATAAAAAATACAGATATTAACCCTTTACACCCTAACATCTGTAGGCATATTCTCCCTACTGTTCCTTATACAATCTCTGAGGTAATGACAAGGAGAATTTGTTTAATAGGCAAGAGTTTCTTTAGATGGTGATCATTTCCTTCATTCTAGTGAACTTAATGTTTGATTCTGGGGTAATATTCTAAGGAGAAATTAGATACTAGTCACTCTTAGGGGTCAGAGAGTTGATCTTCTTCTCTCCACATAACTTTTGTAAAATTTTGCAAAATAAGCATGCTTTAAATAAAGAGTTTAAACTAACTTATTTACTTACTCACTTACACTCTCCCTTATAATTAACCAGTTATTTCTTCTAGGTGAAGCAATTACATGCATTATGAATCATCACTTACTTGATGAAAAAGTTGTCCCTTCCTAAAGGTGATTTGTGCTTGCTTGTTAAACTTTCTCTTTCCTAGCTCAGAAATCTGAGCTTTCCTCCAATTTAGCAAAGCAAAATGTTCATTTGGAGGCTTAGTTTGACCAAGAATTGATGTTACACTGGGATACTTGCCAAGGTAGATTCTTTCGCCATTTTGATTTCTGTTCATGTACTGCAGTGAGAGTGGTGACTCCAACAATGAAGAAACAGCTTCCTGATTAGCTCCCCTGCTAGGATTTACAAATAGACTGTGAATCTCACTCTCAGCACCATCTGTATCATTATCCAGTTGTGAAATATTCTAAAACAAAGTTCACAGACCCATGAATAACTTCAAAGTAACAATAAAATGGCAAACCCAACTTTACCACAGTCACCATTTGAGCTTGTAACACAACATGCTCCCTTCTCCTCAATGGGGAGCATGTTATCCAAAACAACCTGAATGATAGCTGCAAAGGAGTCTATAGGTACAGGGGAATTGGGAAAATGTGCTCATAAATATATTACTTAATTGTTATTCTGGAGTTGTGTTCTTTACATTTTACTGTGCTTAAACCTCAGATGGCAACACATGGTTTATTGGATTCAATTAGAGCTTTGGTTCATTATTGAGGACTTTCCTGTCTGTTGTGTTTTTGTTTTCATTATCTTTTATTTTTTTGCTGTGAATTCTTTTCAGCGCTCTTCTGAGTTAAGTGAAGGGTAATTGTGAAGAAGAGCTCCCCAAAAAACCTGTAGGCCGTCTGTCGGCCGACTGTCGACCGACAGTCGGCCGACAGTCTACCGACAGGTTAAGAAAAAAGAAAAAATTGTGTTAAAAACGAACAGTTAACGTGACATAACAGACGACAGTCTACCGACAGGTTAAGAAAAAAGAAAAAATTGTGTTAAAAACGAACAGTTAACGTGACATAACAGACGATGAAAGAGAACAGATGCAGCATGGCCTGTGCCTTCCGTCTTGCAGGCTGTCCTCGGAGCACACTACGAGACTTCGTGGCGATAGCAGAGCTGAAAAAGGTCGCCTCGAGGGAACTGGACCTCGTCCTCCGCGACCAAGAAGTTCAATCGGTGCGAGATCTGGAGGTTGCCTGTCGCAAAAGACTTCGGCGCTACATCCCGGTCATGAGCAACATGAGGAGAGAGGGGCAGCTGTTGCCAATGAAGTTCGCGGCACGATTTTACGAGTGAAATATCTTGTATATTTCACCACGCACAAAACGGCTCCTTTAGGAGCCACCAAATCTTGAAAGTCAATTGTCAACGTATTAAACATGTTGGATGTCGTTTTCAAGCGAAAACCGAGAGAAAACATTAAGGTTTGTGTTAACGTTTCACGGACAAGCTACCGACAAGCTACCGACAGGTTACTGACACATTACCAACAGTCGGCCGACTGTCGGCCGACAGGTAGCCTATATTTCAGGCAAAACCTGTCGGCCGTCTGTCGGCCGTCTGTCGGCCGACTGTCGGCCGTCTGTGACAGACGGCCGACTGTTGGCCGACAGGTTTTTTGGGGAGCTCTTCTTCACAATTACCAAGTGAAGGGCTTGCTAATTCCGGAGAAATGGATGAGGTGTTTTTTTTTCCAACCAAAAGTTATATTAAACCTCAAAATACGTTTTTTCCTTGGCCTTTTTTTTTTATAGCACTGGTGACAAGCACAAGCAGCACTTTAAAGTCAATTCTCCCCACTAGGTATCTGCCGCATAATTTAACATTGGGTCTGATAAGTTGGTGTTACACGTCAAAATTATCCCCTGCAGTTGGATATCTTTCCTTAAATTCTCGCATGAACTTGAAATTTTTTGATACGGTAAGGAGAATAAAATTATTTGAAATTCCTAGGGGAGAATACGATCAAAAGTAAAGAGACACTATCGATTGAAACATTACAGACTATCATCAACTTGAAGTGAAATGTGAAAGTGCTCTGTTCAATATATAGAGAAATTACTGTTGTACCTTTGTGTTGGTTTTGAATCTAAAACCACAACGATTCCAACGTAGTAACAGCTTTCTGGAATATCCGTAAGTTCCTTGCAATTGAAGAAGAGCCATCTTAATCAAACGATGGCAAGAAATCTATTTACGGGTCTTTACCGTTGCAACATCCCAACGTACAACTTCATCCGCCATCTTTCTATTAGTTAGTTGCAAAAGACTGGGTGCTAGGAGATGTCAACAAACATGTCGGACCATGACTACGCTTTCAAGGTTCTTGTTTTGGGAGATAGTTCCGTTGGAAAATCCAGTCTGATTAGAAGATTTCACTCAAATGTTTTTGATCAACGACTTCCTACGACTATTGGAGTCGACTTTTTTATCCACGACCTGGAAGTAGACGGGAAGAAAGTCAAGGTAAGTAAAGGCGGCAACGTGCAGTAATTGGGTAACAATCTAGGAACGAAATTGCTGACATGGTGATTGTTACCACAAACCTTTTCTTCCCTTTACAAATGTCAGTATGTGCATTAGATTAAAGTTGAGTATTGGAGAAGGGCATCAGTCCAATATTTAAGCTTTAAATGTTAGTTTTTTTGTGCATGCGTGTTATTTGGGTTTTGGAAATTTATTACGATCATGTCTTCGACGATCATTCCAGGTGGTCTGTACCTACTAAATTGAACCCCCGGAAATTATGCTTTGATTTACTTTGGTTTTGGTTTCTCAGCACTCAATTGAATTTTCCTGTTGCTTTAAGCTGAATTATATGCATATTGGTGTCATGTACTTTTCGTCAGCTTCATTTGTGGGACACAGCAGGTGAAGAGAGATTCAGACAAAATGGACTGACCAGCTCCTATTACAGGGGTGCTCAGGGCGCACTCATGGTGTTCTCTCTGTCATCACGCAAATCATTTGAAAATATCCAGACTCACTGGTTGGAGGAATTTTACCAGAAGAGGTAATCAAATTTCTCAGTATTTGTGCCTGTGCAGATTTACCACCTTTAAAAATAACATCCTGCATCCCTCATCACATGTTAATGGTCATTTGATGATAAAAAAATATTTGTTAGTTTCACTTTTGGAGGCCAGAAAGCTAGCCCAAATCTCAATAACTAACTGGCTGTATAAAATTCTACATTTTCAGCAGTGGATCAGATACAGTTACAGTTTTAGTGGGTAACAAATGTGACTTGGAGGATAAAAGAGAAGTTGATGAAGATGACATAAGGGTATACAATTTTAATAATTTGCTATACATGATTTTTTTTTTCAAGTAATTAAAAATCTAAACCAGTTAGAGGCAGAGACCAATTGGCTATTTTGATAATGCATCCAATAGGTTTAAAGCTCAAGGCAAAATAGAAAGTGTTTGGCTAGGACCTGGGTGGAGGGCTTGTGCACAAAACCATTACTAGTCCAGCACTTTTGCCTTTCAGTTGTGTAATTATTTTTTTGGTTTCTTTTACCTCACAAAAGGAATTTGCAGAGTTGAATTCCATGTGTTGGTTAGAAACAAGTGCCAAAGACTGTACTAATGTGAAAGAAGCTTTTGAAACAATGGCTTACAAACTGTGTGAGAGCCATGAGCAGTATCTGTCATTTTCATCAGAGAACAGCATTGGACCAAGTAGTTTTACCCTTCATGGAGCCTATGGTGTGCCTGAACAAACAGAAGGCTATTGTTCTGGTTGTACTTCAACAAGTTAACTACAGTTAAATGATTACAGTGTTAAATGATTGTTTGTCTTGTCACAACTGAGAATAGCATAGGGGAGATTCTGATCCTGTTTCTTGCATAAATTTTAGAAAATTCATGTGTCACTTATTTAAAAAAAAGAAACAAAATCTCTGTTCTTGTGTTCAAGGTTTCAGTGAAATCTTGAGGTTTCCATAAAATAAAAGAACAAATTCAGGAGTCATGTACATTTCATGAGGCAAACCAGGCCATAGGCTGATGATTTGATAAAATTCACATATTGCATATAAACTCTATGGTTCCATACACATTTTTAATGTTGAAACACTGTAAGTAAAACACGCCTTGTATGGAGGCTGTTTGAGATGGGGCAGGCAAGGCCAATGTATGAGAAGATCTAGGCCACAGTCTTAACTATAAATCAGCCACAGTCATTCTTTGAGATATCTCTCCTACACACAGGGTTTCACTGGATTTTAAGTGTGTTATCTAAGAGTGCAGTTGAGCTTTTAGTTATTATTGCACTCTACAATTTATGATGTAGGTCACAGTCTACTAGGATAACAGCATTCTTTTGAGGAAGAAAATAGTTAATAGAAGTAAAGGTAGGGTTCAGTTCTCCCCTCCACTTAAGCCTGCATACCAAACCCCCCAGTTGAATCTGACTTTAAAAAGAGGAACATTGAAAATTAATTAGTTCTGTCTGGTTCTCTCTGGAAGTAAGAAGATACATTACTTTCAGCTTTTTCTTCTTGTCAGAATTCATATTTGTGCTTTCTCCAAGGCATTAGTGAGAATTAACCATAGTTAGCTCAACTACAAAATGAATAGCAACATTTTCAAAATGCACCAATCATATGTAAATAGCAAGTCTCTAAATATTAGAAAGCAACATTACATGGAAACTAATGTCAAGTTTAATGACTGCATAAGCAACATGTTTAATAGATAAGTTTTCTGACAGTCATAATGTTAAGAATGTAAGTTACTGGTAGTTACTTCTCATTTATTTTATTTTATGGTTGTAGTTACATAATAGACTTAATGGCAGGTATTTGATAACATCATATTCAATTTGAAAACCTAATTTTTAAATGACTAAAAATATAAATGACCAGTTGTTTTTGTTGTTGAGTTGAAAATATAAACAGGCCATTACAATCTCTTATGAAGGAACCCATTAATTCTTTACACTAAGTTGGAAGCATTACAGGTTGTACTGTATGCTTCCAATACACCAAGAGCAAAAATACATATTAATTTAAGTAGTAGTTATCAGAGTCTTGGCCAACACTAAGCAATGAAAGATGTTCTTTAACAAATAAATATCAGAATAGTTAAACTCATAATATACCAGGTAAAAGAAAAGTATGATAAATATAGTTTGAACTCTGTAGTACATTATGCACTTAATGTATGGTCCTGAGGGGAAACAGTTAGTTTTGTTTTCCCAAGAGTCCCAATGTTTCCTGAGAGGAAGTCGAGGGAAACATCAGGACTTGAGGGAAAACAAAACTAACTAGTTTCGTGAGGGATCATACATTAAGAGCTTTGTTATATATTTAGAGTTTCCCTTAAACAATCATGGCAAAAACATGCTGTTATATTTGGTGCGCAGGCAACAACTGTGCAATTGTAACCCCTAACCCCAACCCTAAAACCAATCACAGTGCTTTGTTGAGTGAAAGTCTGGGTATATAACAATTGCATTTGATGGCTGTGACAGTTTTTATTGTATCTCTAAATTTGTATGTTTGCTATAATTGGTAAATTAAATGGGCAATATTTCACTGTAGTGCCCACTAAATTCAAAGGTTTGTTTAAACTGTAAATACCTTCTTAAACTCCTTTTCTCAGTGTGTACTCCAAGTTACATAACCCTGTTATTATCTGCTCGGATTTACTTTCTGTGCACTTTGTATATATGCCTGGGCCATAAATCTGAGCAGAAAAAAACTTGGTCCATAACTTGCGGTATGGACCTCAAACTCAGTTAGTAAGAGGCATTTCTTGCCTGCAGACTGAGGTATTTTAATTTCTTCTGCCTTTTAGATGAGAAGTTTATCAGGCCCCAAACTGCTCTTACTCCCAGCTTTAAAACATTTACTCAGGAGTAAAATCTTTATAGTATCAACCTCAAAGATAATGAAAGCAAAGAGGTGCATGAGATACTTAAGTAGAGCTCAATATTCTCCTTAGCTCCTTTTTCATGTCAAAAAGTGTCAGTCAAGGCATTGATTAGTCATCAGGATTAAATAGAGTTAGGCCATTATTAACCACCAGACATTTATCACAAATTTTACCACTAAAATCACATAAGGATTGTGTCCTTTAGACTGTGAAGATTGGAGAATTTCTCCAGTTACTTTAGATACTCCTCTTGCTAATACAGTTACATTTCTGAACGAAAACCTTACATATACATTCAGTAGCTTTGGTGTACTACCTGTTGTAAATTTACATTTCAGTTGAGTATAATGTATGCCTCTTGGTTGATGCAGCTTATCAAGGTTATGGAAGCTTCTCATGGATTCTTTTGTAATGGCCATAGGTCAGATTATACATCTTCATTTGTGACAACTGCAGATCATCCAGTTTGTATCCAGGTATAGATCCTTCTTGAAAAGTCTTGTATGAAAAGCCACATGGTGCACCCTGAGTAAAATCAGTTGTTAATGTCAAGGGGACAATTCTAACACTACAAAAATAATCTTCAAGCTCTAGGGAGTGCAGGAGATATGACAGCAAAATGGTAGCACCTGTGGGAGATGCCATGGACTAATGGTCAATGCGCTTGACTCTGGGTTAAGATGGCCTGGGTCTATGACCTGCTCAGGTCAATGTCCTATGTTCTTGGGCAACAATTAACTTTCGCAGTGCCTCATACCCCCAGGAGTATATATAAGTACCAGCAAATTGTAAGGGAAGCCTGATGAAATACTGGGGGGGGGGGGAGAGGGGGGAGGGTGAAACTTGCGATAGACTGGCCTCCCATCCAGGGGGGAGCAGTAACACTCCTAGTCACTTCATGCTATGAAAACCAGGATGTGCTTCCAATGGATGGGCCAATTGGCTTTTGCACAGGCTTAACCTTTGGTGGTACTGACCTCATTAGCAAACAAAGTCATGAGGAATCTTCCAGGCTTAAAAGTCTTAAGAACTTTGGATATCAGCTCCTTGTAGCATGACTATAAGAGAATGGAAGGAGGTCATATTGTGAAGAACTCTGTGTGGAAATGCTTTACCAATTCAGTTATAATTTGATTAAATTCCTGTTACTGTTGTTAAGAGGCCTATGACCATTGCTATAAGTTAAATTGGACAGAAAACATTGCTAAAATCTGTATCACCGAGAATTTACCAAACCGCTATGTGATAAAACCTACAGGCCTCAGGTTAAAATATATGTCTTCAAAACTTTACCTCGTGTTTTACATAAGAAGTCAGTGAGAAAGATATCAGATATTTTCATTTCATTACCCCTTCAAGGTTCTTTCACAATTCTTCTTTCAAGCTTCTACAAATTTCACTAATCAGTGAATTTGGTGCTGTATCAAGTTAACTTTCTCTAGCTGTTGAATTATTCTATCCTAACCATCAGGTTCTATCCTCACCACCGGTTTTGTCCGGAGAAGTTCAATCTCTATCATTCAAAAGAGTTTAAGGGTTAAATTTCTCCTTAATCCTCCGTTAAGTAAAATCTATAAGGTGTTGTTAATGTGTATATTCTCATTACATATATTGTTTAATCCAGTGTCAAGCAGATGAGGATGATGAGGATGAAAAACAACACCACATTGAGAATGAGCTAGATTTACAACTGATTTCTCACCAACAAAAACTGACTTGTCTGATGTAAGTTTAGTTGAATTGACCTTATAAACTGAGAAATAACAGTGTGAATCATGACTTAGTGCCTACTGACTAACCACTTTAACATTGGTTTCAAAACTGGCATAAGAACATTCCTCTTGCGGGGTAACGTGAATGCTAAAGTAGCTGTTCTGTTGAAGAAAAAGGAAAGACTAGTTCAGTGTGAGGTAAATTCAAATGTACACTCAGCATGTTTAAAGTTAAAAGGCTATATCCACCTTGCCATATCAGGGCCTTTCCATGAAAATTCTACCTGAGGGGAAATGTGAACTGTATGGGCAGTTTCTCAAAATACAGACCAAAGTATCTTAAAATTTTAACAAGATTGGCCACAATATATTTTTTTTCCAATTTACTCACATCCAAGAGGCCATTAGCAGAATAACCACAAGGATCAAACAAAGCAGCATCAATCAAGGCTCCAGGGAGAAATTCACTTATGCCTGTGACCTACAAAAAAACAGGCAGGAAAAATTAACCCTTTAACTCTCAAGATCTGAACATCAATTCTCTCCTCAAGCTGCTACACATTTCCTTGTAAATTAGTAACCAGAACTTGGTGTTAGATCAAGATAACAATTTGGAACTGATATGTTTGAGTATTCTCACTACCTGTTTGCTGGATAATGTATGGATATTATAGGGAGAAGTTATATGTTTATCACTTCTGGGAGTTAACCCTTTAACTCCCATGAGTGACCAAGACAAAATTTCTCTCTACAATACCAATACAGTATCAAGCAGACAAGTGATGGGAATAAAGAAAAATATCAATGAGAGTATTCATAGTTGATCCAATACCAAATTCTCCGAATTAACATCATACAAATTGAAAGGTAGACAGTAAGGAGAGTTACTGATGAGATCTTGGAAGTGAAAGGGTTAAGGGGTTGAAGGGGTTTTGAAAGACAAACTTAAGAGTATGAGATAATCTTCTCAACCAAAAGGAACAGATTTTTTTTAGGTCAGTAAAACTCCTTGTCAATCACAATGGGTGATCCACCAACATTTTAGGAAAGAATATATGGAATTTGAGGAGATTTCTTGAGGAGGGAGCTTGAAAATACAACACATCCAAACAACCAGCTGCAGTAGGAAAAGTATAAGCATATTAAAATTAAGGGGGTTGAATCATTCACCCTGACTAGAATTGTCTTCTTGGATAATGGGAGGGAAGTCAAAACCCTCATTTGTCTCTGAACACTCACATCATATATTAACAGTATTATAATGCAACTGAATAGAGATTACTTTAAAACTGGTGCATTTCTACATAAAATCAGTCCTTACTCTGGTCACTTCATCTGCATTAGAAGAACTTGACTTGTAAAACTTGTTCATTGCCTCTCGGTCAAGATCATGCATCAAAATGTTTGCAGGCTAAGGATTCATGATTCTTTATCACTCTGATAACAATTGGTATTTAAGACTTCTATTATGACAAATTGATGCAAAATAATGAAACAAAATTATAATAAAAAAAAGGAGAAAAAGAAAACTAGACAGAAGACATTAAGCAAGTAGTTTTTGTTTAAAGATATCTCCAGTGTTTGGTCTGGCTGGGTCACACCAGGAAGGATGTTGTCCAGGGTGTATAAGAACCTGGGAAAGAAGACAAATCAATCAAGGTATTATGTCAAATACAGGGATGTGATAAGTGAAAGGGACATAGGTCAATTAGTATTTGCATTGCAAGGCAAATGAGTGGGAAACGACTGTCAGTACATTTTCAAGTTTAAAGAACTCTTGACCATTGTCTGTAATTTGTCACCGAGTTCAGGACTTACATTGTTTTGAATCATTTTAAGAGAAACGACTCATTAGAAACATTAGAACCTTGCTTTCAAATTCTCCCTCCACCTCCCCCTCATGGCCTCCCTAGAGCCTGGGAGAGAAATTCTGAGGTTGCATGACATTTAGGATTTCCAATGTCTCATATCCTATTTCAGGATGAAAACCTGCTTTACTTGGACAAACAGACATTATTTTTTATAGCTCTACACAAAAGAACTTGTTGAATTGGTAAATTATTACCACAGCACTTACTTACCATGTGTCAGGACCATTCAATCGTCCAAGAGCGTATCCTGCACCATCTAAAATTAGAAAATCATTAACACAACATGAATAAAATAACACAAAATTAAAGTTTCTATTGAAACAAAGTGAGCTGTAGTACTTGTGGCCCTGGTTTCATTGCTTTGGCATCTGATCTCAAAACTATACATAGAGAGTCAGAATAGTAATATCTGAACAAAATGAAAACTGCAAGCAAAATTGCCTTCAATTCCAGGACTATATACACTCTCAAAGATAAAACAGTTCATAATTCTTACTTGTATGAAAAACATCACACTAAAATGAAAGCAATCTCAAAAATGGTAGATAGGGGTTTTAAAATAGACAGTTTCATTTAGAGTTGTTTTTAACCCTTTAACTCCCATGAGTGATCAAGAAAGAATTTCTCCTTACAATATCAAGCAGACAAGTGATGAGAATAAAAATATTAACTAGGGGATTATTAGTGGATCCAATACCAAATTCTCCAAACTAAAATCACAAGAAGTGTATGGTAGACACTAAGGAGAATTATTAATGAGATCTTGGGAGTCAAAGGGTTAACTGAATTACTTTAAATCAATTTCTTTTTTTAATAAGATTAATAGAGGTTATATGAAATAATGATTTTCAGGGTCTATTACCAGAAAACAACTGATCCAGCCACTCAACCTAACAAAATTAATGAGGAAAAGATTTTTAAAAAGTTAGAAGAAGGTGGTAAACTCTGATTCATACTGGTCATCAAGTGAAGTATAAAGCTGAATGTTTCTGCTCTCTATTCTTTCAATTAGAAAATGAAATTGCATGTATATTAGCCCAGAACTGCAAGAATTTAACAGTGCAAGTGAGCTCAATTAGTTTTGCTATTCTTTTTCTTTAAGTTTTCTTTCCCAAAAAAAGCAAAGGTGGAAAACCAGGCAGGTAATAAGAATTGTAAAGAACTAAAAACTTGATAAAAACATCAGCTTAACTAATTACTGCAAATATAATCACTAAAAATTAAGAAAACAATTTTGTTTTCAACGCTTTCTGTACATTGAATGAATTATGGCCCAGTCCCTACTAAGTACTTTCGCTACCAGTCTGATCGCTACTAACGAAGTCTGATTGCAACCACTGGGAATAATTATGAAGAGAAAACATCAATGAAACTTATTAAAAAGCCACAAAAATTTGTGGATGAAATTTTCTGCAGCATTGTAAAGTATAACTTGAGCAATCACTGGTAACCGGTTAAGTCGCCCGAGAGTCATCTCGCCCGAAGTCATGTTGCCCGAAACCTGAGTCATGTTGCCCGAAATTTTGGTAATGTAACCCCCCAAAAAAAGTCAATTCGCCCAAAGAAACAAATACTAAAAAGATCAGAATTTCAGACTGTAAATAGGCAATAACGTTGAGAAATTTTTTTATCACTAAAGCGCTCTTTGTTTCCAACAACACCATGAAGATTCTTAAATGCGTTGTTCGTTCCTAACAACAAAGGGAAACGTTGTTCGTTTCCGATAACAAAATGCAGCGTTGTTCGTTTGGTATGTAATCGTTTCTTACTCACGGACGTTTCGTAAGCTTGAGAAACTTATTCTAGGTTTCTAAGACCATGAAGACTTTGACTACACAGAAATCAATCGTATGCTTGGAATTGAAATGTGTTTGAGTGACGATTCTAAAAACGTTGTTCGTTTCTAACAACAAAGGGAAACGTTCTTCGTTTCTGACAAAAAAATGAAGCGTTTTTCGCTTGGTATATACTCGTTTCTTACTCACGAACATTTCGTAAGCTTGGGAAACTCTTTCTTGTTTCTTAAAGATCCAAAGATGAAATCGACAACCTCCATAACAAGTAGTTTGCTCACGTTTTCTTCATTACTCGAATTTCTCTTCGAGTGTTTAACTCGATAGCTCACGAGTGAGCGCAGCGAGCGAGTGAGATGTCGAGTTGAACACGAGAAGAGAAATTCCATATCTACAAGCAACCATATATTACTCGTTTATCATATAAACGCAGTAGTCTTTTTCTGGGAAGAAAAGCCAACCTCGAATGAATGAAAATAAATGAATCGACAATCCTCGAATAACAATTGTCGAGTGCGTGAGCGCTGACTCTTAAGACGGAAAAATGCGTTGAATCATCATTACTAAAACTTCCATATCTACGCGCGCCCATGTATTATTCCCTGTTTATCGTTTTTCTGTAACTTGTTAGTTCATTTCGTAAAGTTCTTTAAGTCTTTTACTACGGAGGTAATAAAAAATATAATTGGCATACTCTCCCGTTTCATTTCGTGAGATGGTTGATTATACATGGGACCAGGGAGAGTAAGATTTCAGGGGGAGGTGGAGGTTTTGTACGATTCTCGTATTTCGTGTACGTGACATGTTGTCGTCTCGCCTTATTTTAGACATTTATGCCTTGTTTTAGATGGTTTTAGATAGTTTGCGAGTGGCTGTAGATGTTTTTGAGATGGTTGTAGATGATTGTAGGTGGTTTGGATCATGTGTACTATAGGTGGCCTCGGTCGACATATCGGCCGATATATCGGTCGACTATCGACCGACTATAGGTCGACTATCGGTCAATCAACCGATATATCGGTCGATTGTCGGCCTATATGTCCGAGGCCACCTATAGTACACATGATCCGGTGGTTTTAGGTGGTTTTAGGCCGTTCCATGTTTCAGTACTTACCTTGGCCAGAGTCCGTTTGCTATACCAATAAAATTTTAGTCTTGGAAAAGTTGGATGTAATATTACAATTTTATTACCTCTATATTGCCAAATTAGTGTAAAAAAATGTTCTTTTAGGAGTTGTCGCTTAGCTTTATCATTTCTAACTTGCCAAAGATCAGAATACCTTACATTTAGAAATCGATCGACGCGCGACGCCATATCGATTTCGTGAAATCAAAAACCTCCATGACAAGTCGTTTGCTCACGTTTTCTTCATTTAAAGTACATTCCTTTCACAAAAATCGAAAACGAAATGATTAAGTACCGTAACCTGAAATAAATTAGAAACAGTTGTCTCATATAAACGTCAACACCTAAACGAAAAACTCGACCGCGATTTACCCTTGGCTACCAATAAAGTTTTGCATTATTGCGAAGATCGCTTTCATATTCACATCTTTAACCGCAGTTCACATATATGTCGATATATGGTATTTCATATATTCACAGTCATGTTAAGAGCTAACACATCAATAAAACCAATGACCTACGAATTTGATACATGAAATGGGATAGTCTTCTTCATAATGTTGAGGCACTAAAAAACCATTGGTAGCGAACGGACTCCGGCCTATTAGGTAAATCAGGGTCGAGTTCGATTCTTTAGTTTATTCGTTTAGTTTTTGAAGTTTATGTGAAGAAGTAAGAAGTAAATTCATTAGAGTCAAGTTGGTAGAAACTTGGTATGGAAGCTAGTGAGCACGGTGTTTCGTCACGAATGAATCTTCGTCTTGATCGATCCTATCGTGAAGTGATCGCTCAAGATATACTCTAAAATGCTACCACATAAATTTTTTTCTATAAATTTTTGTGGCTTTTTTCCAATTTTCTGTTGGTAATTCCCAGTGGTAACGATTAGAGTTCGTAATCGCAGCGATTGAACTGTGGTTGGTAGCGCTCGGACAAGTAGCGATAGTACTTGGTAGCAACCGGACCAGTTACCAATTTAACATTTGAAATCAAAGTTACTAACAGACTCTCTTTTTATCGCGACGATGAAATCAAAGTTACTAATAGACTCTCTTTAAATCGTGACGATGGCGGCTTGCTTCCTGACGCCTATTTACACCTTGTCAGAAAAAAGGCAGCTAATTAGTGAGCGTATAAAAGGACCTCTTGTTGTTTAGATCACCCTTGATGAAAGCACTAGACAGGAGTGTCGAAACGTTGGGTCTATGAATTGTAACTTCTTCGGTTACATTCATTAAATCTCTACACCAGAGTCGCATCAAACCATGTCTGATTGTCAACCTGGTTGCCGTATGAACTTTAATATATTTTAGACTCTCTTTTTAATAGATGGTTGCAGTGCCATCTTAAGATCTTTAAAGCCATTTCAAACAGTCTCTTGCCAACCTAAGAACCTTTGATTGTTGAACAAATTCTCCTTCTCAGCCCCTAAAGCAATATAAAAATAACTATATGGAGAATATACACACTGATGTATGTCAGCGAGCGTTCATCAAGATATGAAGCACGCGGGAAGCACGAAAGATGCAAAAGAGTTGCTCGAGGCATAGCCGAGAGCAACTCAAGCTTCTTGAGTGCTCTCCAAACTTCCCAAGTGCTTCATATCTCGATGAACGCACGCTGACCTATGAACCAATTGTTTTATAACATTTTCAACCCGATGAAAAATTTTTTTCTCGAGGGATTTGTTTGCTGACATCATGTTCGTGCACAATAGGAATATGAAGCACGCTCGCGCAATTGAATTTGATTAGACAAATTTACTAGCTATGTTATAAACAAAATGGATTAAATAATACTGACCTCCTGTTGAAATGTTTGATGAGGAGCAGGTTGAAGTTTGGGTTCTTGATAGTTCATGCGCGAGTAAAAGAAATCCTACAAAGGCATTCAGATTGTAAGATCTAACAAACTGACAGTTTATTGTAATTCCTATTCATATGCTCAATACATGTTAATTAGTATGATTATAACAGTTAGAGTTAAGTAATAGTTGCCAAACTAATATATATCTTTATAGGGGTAAGTTTCTATAAAAGCTGTGGTGCTGCATTGGTGGGAGAGTATAACAGTAACTTGTAAATTGGCCATCAAGAGTTTCAAAGCTGATGTTTTGAGCATTAGCCCTTGGTCAGAGCAAAAGGGCTAGAGCTTGAAACTTAAGCTTTGAAACTCTTTATGGTGGCTAATTTACATTATCAACTTGTTGATAATACTAAACTACACAAATATATTATTTTATAGTCAATCTACAGCCTTTGAACAGCGAGCTATAGAAAGTCAGTTTACAAGCCAGAGACTCATCCTCCTGCAGCTAATCTCAGTTTGCAAAGCATGAAGCAACTTTCAGGTATTGCTTCTTCCCAAATGGAAAGCTAGTCTGTGCATTTTGTCATGTCTCCTGAATAGTTCACAAGTATCCAAATATACATCACAGTGGGGAGAGGCACCACAAAAGTAAAGAGTGTTGCCCAAGACAAAAACACAATGATCCCATAAGGATTTGAAACACAGATCTCTTGACCCAGAGTCCAATGTGCTTAAAATGAGGCTAGCACATTTCCCTATTCCACTGACAAAGTAATCATATTTTCTCAGAGCAGTTCCTTTGTTGAATATGTAAGAGCTGGTTCAAAAAGCCTGTTCCTACCTGCACTTCAGTCAACCCACACTCATTCTTGGCCAGTTCTAACAGTGGTTTGATACACTTCAAGAGCGTTGTTTGGCCACAAGTCTTTAGGATGACACGTTCTTTGGACACAAACAAGCTGCTCTCACTGAAAAGAACATTGTGACAGTGTCATTTGGTGTATTTTGAGCATGAATCTGATCACAAATAATAGAGAGAAATCACTTGTTGACCTTCAGATAAAACACAAGTAAAGAAACCATCCTTGCAGGCAAGCTGCAATTGCAATCTGCTTTAATAATACCTTTCTGCAAATTCTTTAACTGCAGCTTGCTTGTTAGGATCATTTCTTTTCTTGTTGTTCATCCACACTATAACATATGATTTATTTCATTTAGTTGTGGTACTTAGGCAAGAAAGTATTACATTACTAAGCCTTTAGAGAGAGCCTGACCTGAGGAGAAATGCAATCATGTCATCATTCCTTTTTTCACTAAGAATAGTGCATTTTACCAATGACAGAAGCTCTGACCATTTCTCCCTATCAAAAGATAAAAATCATAGCTACAGGTTAGTAAAAATCTTTTCTCTTATTCAATCATTTACCAAAGTTATAACTCTACATGTTCGATGCCACAAAGTGAATGCACATACATGTATAATTTATTGACCAAATGGACTCACATTTAGATGTGAAGATGTGATTCGACTGAAAATAAATGAATACAGATATCTAACTACAAAATATAACAACAGCAAGAACTACAATAAAAACTATATGAAATAGAGAAGAACTTGCAACTTGTGGTGTAACCAGGTCCAGCAGTAAAACAGTCAAATAAAAGTGACTAGGTGCCAGTAAAAACTAACATAACAAAACAACTGACTTGGATGAAACCAATTAACTACAAGAATTATCCGGGCCTGATGAAACCAATAACTAGCAGGGTTAAGTAATTTTTTGGTAAAATCATGCAAAAAAATGAACATGATTGAATTTAGAAAGACATTAAAATAGGAGTACAGTAGAATGCAAAACAATATAAACTATTTCAAAGTTGTTTAACAGTATATAATAATGTAAATTCTTGTAGCTACGTGAATCTTCTAGCTGCCAAAATCTATTAGAAATTCTCCCAAACTTCTAATTTAAGAGAATTTGATGTTATATCAAGATTACACCCTCTAACTTATCTTATCTATTCCCACTAGCTAGGGGGCTAAAACACTTTTATGTCCTCAGTGTCAAGATAAAATAAGATTAATTTTCTCTCAATAGCCAAAACGACTAAAGCCAAGAAGACTAATTGCACATTCACAGTATTGTCTGGTTAGCCCCAAGGGTATTGGATGGCTTACAGCCTTTCTACTAAAAATCACTTAATAGCAAATCAGACATTCAAAATCACTAAAATTGTCATATTACTCAGAGTGAACATGAAAAACCCTAGTTGAAACCCTTTAAGTTGGGTTAGGAATAAAATCTACATCTTTTTCTCTACAAAAGCTTTTGGAATAGTAGATTAGTGAATCAAAGTCGTCGACTTTTAGTTCCAGATGAATCAAATTAAATCACGCTGTTCTATCATTGTTTCCTTTACCTTGGTATAGTTCTTAAATTTCCAGAAAATCCGCAGCTGTTTTCAGCTTCCAACATCGGTGTCCACCAAACTTCCATTAATTTCTCGGGCCCTTCGAAAAACCCCACGCTTTCCATTGTTTGGATGCATGCGCCGTGTTTTTAAGGCTTCTCATTAAAAGGAGACGAGTCAATAGAATCAGAGCCACATGGATGGCTGACAAAAGGGACTTTAGGATCCAACAACGCGGACGTGACTGAAGCTGACCGGAAGTAAAAATACCAAAATGATCACCACAGCGCATGATCGTGACGTAAACAAGTCGCGTCCTTGCTCAAGAAGAACGCGCTGGACAGCATTTTCACGTTGTCAACAAACTGTAAGTATTTCGACTTATTTCAGTTACAAAAACACAGTAAATTGGCACTTTTTCTTTGTATATCGAAAGTTTTATCATCCCGGCTGCATTCGTCATTTCTTTTTGTATTTTCTTGTCAGGCTCACTCATATTTCTGAACAGACAAGACAAGACAGTTCTCATGGCCTCAAACACCAAACCGGTTACGGTGTTGCATATCATGCAAAGTTCTGGTACTGGCCTTCCGAAAATAGGTATCATGTCTGAGTATCGACAAGGAAAGGAATATCGCTCAGAAGCATGCAAAGCCCTTCTGTTCCTTCGCAAACAGTTCCCTGGTCGCATACGAAGTATTGCGGAATTTGAAGAGCATCTTCTACCAGAGGAATGTGGTGCTTTTCCACCCTGAAGTTTGCCCTACACTCGGCTTCACTTTGGCTCTCTAAGTTAAACGGCGGGTAGTTAAAGTACGGAAAATCCAAGTTGTTTGAACTGTTTTCTTCGAAAATAAAAGCATATTCTTCAGTCGTAATGATATTAGAGGCATAGCTGGCCAGCAAAATTTCGCGAGTTTCTTTAAAAGTCGCCATTTGCACTGAAAACAATACTATAATCGGTTTCTGTTGTTCAGAAATAAAGTAATTTCACTACTCTTTTTATTCTATCCGCGGGTAGCCGTGTCGTTGAATCCCGCCATCTTAACTTAAAATTTCCCGCCACGAACACGGCGTCCTCGACACAGGCCCCACGCGGCTTCGGTATATTTGACGAAGTCCGCGTTGTTGGATCTTAAAGTCCCTAAAAAGGGAGGACGGGAACTGGGACTCGGTGACGTAAGACTCGGTGACGTGAGACTCGGAGACGTGGGACGCGGGAACGTAGGACGCGGGGACGTGGTACGCGGGAATGTAGGACGCGGGGACGTGGTACGCGGGGACGTGGGACGCGGAGACTCGGGGAGGTGAAGACTCGGCGACGTGAAGACTTGGGGACGTGGGACTCAGAGACGTGGGACGCATGGATACTCGGGGACGTGACAAACAAACCTAATTACTGCGCTGAATAGCTAATAGGCATAGCGCTGCTGAGTTGGCGTGAGTGCTCTTGATACATAAACTAAGGGCTTTCCATCTTGATGAAGGACTGCACCTAACCCCTTTGAACTAGCATCTTCCGATAGGGTCAATGGCTTACCCCAGTGTTTGGCTACTACGACCCAAGAAAAAGAGACCATCAGTTTAAGTTTGTGTAAGCTTGTATCTTGCTCTTAATGCCAATGCCACTCACCATCTTTGTTCAGCAATTCCCATAGTGGCGCACTTACTTATCATGAAGCCATGTTGGGCATTAACTTTGCAATATACTGCATAAATCCAAGGGATGTTTTAAGTTCCTTAGGGTTCTGAGGAGCCTACATTTCTTGTACTGCGTGAATCTTTTCTGGATCTGGTTTTAACCCATCTTTGCTTAGGACATGGCCAACATAGGGAACCTCCTCCTGCCTGATAAGGCATTTTTTTTATTAGGGTTGTCCAATACACCCAAACTGCCACGATTCGTCAAAGACAGTTTGCAAATCGTTCTACCGGAAGTCGATTCGCTGTTAATGCATCCCGTTATACCGAAAATCTGATAAACCATCTCCCATAAGATGGAAACGCATACCGGAAGTCAATTTGCAAGACATTTTAACATTTTAACATTTTATTTTATTTTATAACAACTTTATTTAAATAATAACATATAACATATTATTATTAAACTAGACCCTGTGAGGAGGGTAACTAGGATATCTGGATGGTACTGGATCCTTGGAATCAAGTGTAGTGATACTACGGGTGTCGGACTAGTATACTGAAATAGTGAGCTCAAGTCTGGCCAAGGGCATACACCTATTTCAAAACATAGGCATGCTATGCATGCAAGAGTTATTTTTTGTAGGCTGTGTGGATTACTTGAAACATTGTAAGTGGTTTACATTCTTACAAAAGGAAAGAAGAGTTTTAACGCGGAAAAGAACGAAAATGTCGAATTACCTCACACGCAGGTATTTTGTGGTAGATTATGTATGTTGTGCGAATAAATGTAACCAAAAATAAACTGTATTGGTGCCACAGACCTATTAGTACAAAATGCAGACAGCAGACTGCAGACCGGATACAAAATATAGACTGCAGACTGCAGAGTGGATACAAAATGCAGACAGAGAATCTGAAGAGTTTTTACGTCTGGTATATAATAACATGTCATCTTACAGCTTACCGAGCGTCACGCAATCGCTTTTCCGCGATCAGCTTTCACGATTATTTGCACTATTGTGGAATATTCCTGGCCCATTTCTTGATGAAAATCGATCGTAATATAATTTCAAGCCTTCAATATAGTCTTCTTACTTTGCGAGCGAGTTGGTTGGTGTGATGTCTGTACAGATTTAACCAACGTAATAAAAGTAGATGAAGTGAATAACAGTGATTGTAAAGCAAGCTTAAAACGGCAGAAATCGCCAGAAACTACAACGGATACACAGGGTATGAGTAATTTTTATTGACTTGATGAGAAAAATGTTTATATTTCAATATATTTATCGTTGTAAATCGACCATATTTCGTTCCCCATACTATTCCTTATAACGTGTTCAAATTTTCAACGGTTCCTCCCGTAACTTAACACCGAGTCACACAACGCGTGACGCGTTCATTAATTAATCGTTGACTTTTTCTCAAGACGTGAGCTTGGGCCGCCTGTGACAAGACAATTGTATAAACAATACTTAACATAATAACATTAGACACAAAAAACACAGGATTTTGGATCATGTATTTATTAAAAAAGAATATCCATACAACTACAATGAAAACAAACATAAGATTCACCTTTCTGATCGTGAAATTAATACCATTCGTACTGTTATCGTAGCTACGTTCCCTGGCATCAAGTGAATCCAACATGGCGTCTTTCTTCACAAGCAGTTTGCACCCATTTGAGTTTTGTTGTTCAGTCTCACGGTAGTAATGTTGTTCAATAGATTGCATAGAGTATATGAAGTTTGGTTTCAGATTTCAGATTTCAGATTTTGCTTTTTACAACAAGTATACGTTTTTCAACTAAGAGATTGGCATACTTGGCATACAGGGCATACAAGGCATACAAAGCATTCAAGGCTTTCATGGCTTTCAAGCGTTCGCGACTCAATCCGTTCCAACATTACTGCTCAATAACATCTTTTAGATTGGCCGCGAACAATACGACTTGTGTATTCGTCTGTAAGTATTTTGAGCGTTTGCGCCATAATGCTCCAGGTGATCGTAATCCAAACACGTTGAAATACAAAACGACCGACAAAAGAGTTTTATACGCAAAAATCTCGTGGTTCGTCATGTGAAGGCCCTGTCCTTGCATGACAAAGTCAATCATCATCAAGATAACACACATGATCAGCATGTGAACACCTCATTGGATCACAGTTAGTTGTCATGGTGTTGAGGGCCCAATGACCACCGGGTACTATTGCGCAATTTTTCCATTTTGTGGCGGAGGAAAAAAAAAAGACGACAAAAAAACAAAGGCGTTTTATGACTTGGCTACCACAGGTTCCCAGTAAAAAGGAGGAACTTAATCCTTATTGTAAACTATACCCCAGATATATGTTTCACAAGTAACTGTCAAGGGTTGTTGAAAATGTTGTCGAATCGAGCGACTCGTCTCAGTTAAAGTCGACCCTTCATACCGTAAGTAGCCAGAAAAGGAGGTTGCAGATATTGTCGAATCGACTCGAATCGAACGACTCGTCACAGTAGATGCCGTCTCGTTATACCGGAAGTCGATTTTCAAGACACTTACAAAATATTCCGCGAGTAACTACGAAAGGGAGTTGGAGATTCGATTCGACTCGAATCGAACTACTCGTCACAGGCGATGTCGACCCGTCATACCGGAAGTTAACGCACGATTCGACTTCCACGCTATAGTATACCATGCTACTAATTTTCACACATTGCTTACCACCCTCCACTTCCGGTATGTTAACACACGATTCGACTTCCTGTGTGTCGACTTGTCAACGATCATAGACGAATCGTAGCGGTTTGAGTGTATTGGAAATGTATGACTTCAGTGACACTCTTTGACTGAGTGTTTCTTTGGAGGGCATCCAGGTTTCTGTTTTCGCTGGTTTACACTATTAACAGTCGCGTTTTCGCATGCCATACTTAAAATCTTTCCAAATGTGCTTTTTTACATTTCATCATGTCGATGGTGATCTGAACCTACCTGAATCAGTCTTTCTCTTGTTTTGGTAGCATTGCATCCAATGATGACTCTATTTCGAACCATTTCATCTGGATCGACATAATCACAATCCTTTACAAGTAACTTCAAATCAATGAGAAATTGCTCAAATAACTCACCCTCTTGCTGAACTTCCTGGTGAAACTTGTACCGAGCAAACACTGTTCAATTTGAGCTTCACATATTCTTTGTGTAATCAGTGTCGATTTTCTTCGCTTTCTCGGCTCCTAGCTCCCACGCACTGTATATTTCACGACCTTTATCTCCAACACATAACATAAGGTGGTTGCACTTCTCCTCTTCACTTTCCTCTTGAGAAAACCGCCAAAAGTGAATTGGCAGTGTTGCTTGAAGGCCTTCCACGCAATCGGTAAATCACCACCCGGTAATCCAGTTTTGAATAAAGAGGGTAAGTTTCTGAGGAAACCGTGGTGCTTCGTCGGTGGAAGAGTATAACAGGGTAATTAAGTGTTATCAACTGAGTTGAAAACGTAAATTGGCCACCGTTAAGAGTTTTAAGGCTGACGTTTCGAGCGTTAGCTCTTCGTCATCGTTCTGACAAAGGACTAACGTCAACCTTTACTCTTTATGGTGGCCAATCCATCTTTGGAGTACTGCCAGCTGATGAATTTCCTTCCATTTTCTTCCCTTTCGCTATGTAAGCAGTTTCGATTCCTTTTCGAAGCTCGGTGGCTTTCCTAGAGGCTTATTTTTAACTTCTAATTTCTGACAACGTGGCATATTTGGACATGTTTGGACATGTTTATTTTGATTATCCATCGTCCCTATCGAATGAAACAACATTACACTACGCGTAACACCTTATGACGCATACATGACCGCAATATACGACGACCAGGCAACGAGCCTCTTCCGAGATTTTACGTCTAGTCATTTTTTGGTAGTTGTTGTGTATGTTCTTGTACATCCTGTGATTACTCAGCTGTAGATGTCTAAGCCAGCCACCAAGTTCGAAAAATCCGCCGCTCTTTGTCTAGTAACTCATATTTCAAAGACGCGAACATTGAGAAACAGGAGAAATGAGACTTCAATGTACGGCGGAGGAGAAACTATCATCAACTATCACAGCTGGAAAGCTCTCATTCCCCTGAAATATTGTTTCTAACTGGCAGTCGAAGTTATCGTCAGTGAAAACTCTGTAGTCCATACGAAATGGTTCAAGAAAAACTGCAATTTCATTTGCAAAAAGGCCTCGATCTGTAATACGTTCGCTTAATTCCCTCAGAAGCTTTCGGATGTTACGTCACTCTGATGTATCCCGTTCCCAGAATCCCTCTCTCTTCCTCTTTGGAGGAAGCGAGGAGTACAGATTGTGGCACCACTACGTGGAAAAGCGGAAGTAGTCAGTATTTTTCTTGGAATCGCTTAATTATGTGTTAATGTTAACAAACTGTGAATACTGGTCAAGATTCTCCTATCTTTGCAAACGTTAGACTTCTAGCGATCTAAATCATCCACTTTGTTATAAAAATGGCTTGCGAAAACGCAACTGATTATGATTACAAAGTAGTCGATAGGGACAGTGTTCTCCTGGAAGCTATCTCTGAAATCAAACAAAAAATCGCTGAGAGGAACACTCTTCTAGCCGTTGATTGTGAGGGAGATTCCTTGAGCAGGAAGGGAACCCTCACTGTCATCACAGTAGCAACTGAGGAGAAAGTGTACATATTTGATGTGCAAAAATTGGGTCAAGTCGTTTTCAGCGGTGGACTTGGCGAAATCCTCGAGGACAGCTCACGAGAGAAGTTGATGTTCGATTGCCGACAAGACTCTGACGCGCTATGGCATCAGTTTCAAGTTAAACTTAAAGGAGTCTTGGATATTCAGCTCCTTGAAATTATCTATCGCCGTGAAAACCCTTCAGAATCTACAGCTCGTACTCCCCAAGTTTCCACCAGGAATAAACGCGGTTTTCAGTCCAACCGCCGCAGTCAGAGAATACACGAAATAGAAAAATTATATGGTTTTGGTCGTTGCATTGAGTTGTACCTCCAGGATGAAAAATTGTCCAAAGTAAAAGACAAAGGCAAAGAGCTGCTAAAGGAAGATGAGAAAGTGTGGATAAAGAGACCACTGACGGATGCTCTTATACAATACTGTATTGTGGATACCATGGCCATGTTCAGGTTGTACAACAAGATGAAGGATGTGAATGGAGGGGAATCGTCTCGTCTTCGAGTTGCATCCGAAAAGTATGTCGGTCTGTACCGAGGCAAATCAGAAAGGTCCTTTGATGAGTATGAAACAAACGGGTACCTTCCTCTTGACATCATCCCCGAGAAAGGAACTCTGGATTTTCCTGTCGCTAACACAGCATGTACTTGCTGCGATCGACTATTTCCAAGGGAAGAATTCAGTGTAACACAGCTAAGAAAAGGAGAGCAGAAATGCAGGGTATGCAAGGAAATAAAACGCCTGGATGATGTGCAAAGGAACAGAGAAGATAATTGGGAGCGTGCTGCCCGCGAAGAGGAAGAGTGTGTTTACATTCCTGAAGGAATGTCTGACTATGCGTTTGTTTACGGCCACGAACCCTGGGAGACCTTTTCAGACTACTGGTGAACATACCTTTACGAGACCATATGGAGAGTCGCTGTGAAGACTGCAATCGAATCCTAAAATACTTTGTATCTTTTAATAATCACTATAAATACCTCATGGTAGACTATAGTAAGACCATTCATAGTAAAATGATCATAGCCGCGAGCACCTGATGTTTTAACATTTTTACCATTCAATCAATTTTGTCTTCGTTTACATTGGCCGTAGGGAGCAGATATCACAAGATTACGGCACCGAAAACCGTAACGGCTGTAAGTGGACTAACGTGTACACCTGCCATCTTGAATCTTATGACTTTACTTCCGGTTTACAAGTTGTTATGATTTGTCACGGCAGCCATTTTGAATTTATTACAAAGAGACATGACATGGATTAGTACAAATAGTTACAACTGTTGAACACCTACCTATTATTATAGCTAAACTACTTAGAGAAGCTAAACTAGCCAAACTCTAACATTGACCTTCTTCCCAGAAAAGATTTTAAATGAATATTTTCATCAATGAATCGATAAAAAGTGCCACTTTGCACGGACTTTGTGACTCTTAATATCTCTGTTTATGTGTCGTAACTAGAGAACAGTGCATGTGCTTGACCAATTTATTTTCATCTCAGCTTACTCATAAAAATATTACCACGATGATCAGTTTCTTAGCCAGATCGGTGGAAAGTTCTTGGCTTTGCTTTAACAAGTTTTTTCAACACGATCTCGAGTGTTTTCAATAACCGACATTTCTCCATTTGTCCCGAATACTAACGCAGACTTGTTATCATCTTCTTTGAAAGATACATTCCTGTTCACTTTCTTATTCAAACGAACATCAGCAAGGAATTCCGACAGCTCAGTTAAGGAGCGCTGTAAATTCCGTTTGAAATTCTTCTTGAAAAGTACATAAGTGAATGGATCCAGAACGAAATTGAAGATCACAAGTCTGAGGGAGAGGTTATCCATTACGGTGCTTGGATACGCCCGAAAGATGTTACAAAAGAGCCGGACCTGAAAAAAGAAATCAGCGAATAAATGACTGGTATTAATAATCGGGTAAAGCTGACGTGTAGCTTTGTCAACAATTCAGATATGTACTGGATCGAAAGCAAGGACGAAAATTTGTTTCAATTACAAGATTTACAAAATTTACGAAGTTTTGATCTTGCATGAAACACTGTATATAAAATCGATGGGAAAATGGATAATTAAGTTTCGAGGATGGCCGTGATCAAAAGGACAAAAACTATGAAAATTACCAAAATTAAGAAGGAACAAAGATGACAAAACTTGGTAAACCATGGATAAAAATCGGTAAAGAAATACAAGTAAGGTTCAATGACGGTCCAACATGACACGAATATATTACATTCTCAGTGACAGGTCAAAAACAATAATAAAAAAGAGGGATTGAAAAAATTGTAAACATTTTGAGTACTGCCTGAAAATTACCACATTTTGCAGGCCTTTCAGCGTAAGTTCAATGTAAGTGAGGCTAAGATGGACACCAATGGAAGTTGCAAAACTCGACAAAACTGCGAAAATTAAAAATTTTGTGAATGTTGCGTCCGCTCGCAAATCCCGGGATATTTTGGTGTTGTCGATGGACAAGAAATTGAATGGGTGGTGTCAGTGGGGCAATTCGATCGTTGTTAGGCGTCCACGTGCATCGTGGGCCCATGACTAGAAATAAAAGGACTGGAGCATGAGCTTACCGTTACTGGTAGCCAAGTAAAAAGGAATACAATAGAGGCCAAAGCCACAAACTTTGCCATCCTTTCTTCCTGTCGGAAAGCGAATCTCCGCGCACGGCGTTTAGAATTCATATCCGAAGGCAGGACCGCTGACATTCGTCGTCTGATACGCACCACAATGACCAAAACGGTGGTATTTGATACAGTCATCACGGTAATCAATGTTACGCCACAAACTGCTATGGCCAAGGAATTAACTGTTTCAGTAAGTGTAACTGGGAACCAATCAAACTGACAAAACGATCTGGAACTTTGGTTGAATTTGTACTTTCCAATACCAAAGAATGGAAGAGCCGCCAACGCTAGACAGAACATCGTGAGAAATGCACAGATTGTCCGCGAAAGCAAAGGGGTGGCGTGTTGCTTATAAAAGAATGGTTTGTACAGGGCAGCCACTCGATCCAAAGACATGGAAGTGACCACAGCACCTGAAGATAATCCAAATGCTGTCGTGAAGAACGCCTGGTGAGGAAAAAAAACAATCGCCATTCTGTTAGTTTTTAAATACGATGGTCGTTGAATGAGTAAAGCTGCGTCTTTTAGGATGTTTGTAAGCCGAGCCGGCCTGCTAGCAACTCCTGACAAATTAAGCATAATTAGCGGTTTAACGTGACAAGCAAGGCGCTTAACTGGCTTAGAGCAACAAATTAAACTTGCTAGGTTAAACATGGCAAACTATAGATCGTCGTGACAACTTTAAGCAGGGAAAGAATGAGTTGAAAGGAACACCGACAGAAAAAAAGATATATCAGAAAATACGATGCAAGGGCGCACGGATTTGAAACAGGATACAGCTTCATATGACACAAATGACAAGGGGAAGATTATACCAAACATTTTACGCTAGGAGACATCGCCTATGACAACTGCAACTGTGGAAATTGGGACCGCGGAAAAAGATAATCTAAGTTGGCTGAGGTAAAACAGATAACTAAACGAAACTCACAGCCGATGACTTCACATCCTATTCTCTTCATCACTTATTGTAATTATCGGGAGAAATGATGTGTTAAATTGTTTTAAGGGTTATTTTGAGGAACAAACTTCAAATAAAAATGCGCTTTTGTTATTTTGAGAAGCCCTGAGGTTCTAAAAGTTAGGTCTTTTATCAATTCGTAAGCGCTTCATAAGGATGTAGGGAAAGTGAGACCTCAAAGAAAAAATTCTGAGAACGAAAAACAAAAGATACACCTGTAAGCCGCATTGTGGCGAGTCTCTCATCCATTCTGAACCTTTCAAAAGACCATGGAATACGATCACTGAAGTGGAGAACACGCCAATGAAATCTACCCAGACCAAGGCACTCACAAGGACCACTGGTGGATTCTTCCCGATGAAGAAGTCTCTTCCGAGAGCGACCAACGCCAAACTACAACCAATAAGCGCGCTTGCTAACACAACGATTCCTATTATAACTGCTTTATCTTCCTGTGTTTCATCGGCTGGTGCTTCTTTTGTACAATGTAGGGTGGTGTTGAAAATGGCCATGGTCGTTAATCAACTGTGTATCAGTTATTGTAAAAGTTGATACTTTTGTTCAAACAAAATTGAAAAGAAACTAATGAATATCATAACTAAGTGGCCGTCAGGACTCGTCTACAGTGTTCCTGAGCGTCCAAAATGGCTGGCAGGTACAAAATGTCGTCGCTTTGATCTAAGCTCTCTTTCTTCTCTTTATAATCCTGTTTTCCCGTCTTCCTTGTCGACAGCTGTTGCGGGAGAAATGCCTCGATACTTTTCGAGCTTTCGCATTCGAAATTACGTTTACAAGAATAAACTGAGCTATTAATTCGACTTTTAAAGTAGTCCTTGTAGATAAAAGTTTACGAGGAAACAACCAGGTGAGACCAGAAGCAAATGTTGCAATAACCTCAGTGTTTTCTGACGAGGTGGATAAATATCTACCGCTTCTAACTTGTGCGTAAACTAACCGTCAACACCACAGAGGAAAGTTTCACCGCTAACAAGGTGTTAGACAACAGACTTCTCTTTTGATTGATAAATATTCTCTTGGTGTTATTATTTCACCATCCAATTGGCTCCTAATATCAATGTTATTCCGTAACTGTTTGTCTTGTGAGCCGATACGAATTCGACCGCCGTTTGGCTTATGTATTATCAGAAACCACGCAAATTTAATCATCTGGGAGAATTTCCACCACGGACGTTGAATTACGCTCATAAATTAAAAATAAGTGTGATTGTTTCCAAAACTAATAGAACGTCCGAAACGGAAGATTTTTTTAAAATTTGCCGTTAATATTTTACAACTAATTTCCTTTTTTTCCTTTGCACGAAATTAAAAACAGATATTGACGTCAATAACCACAAAAGAAGTTGCGCATGATTCAACTTACTACAAACGTATACATGACTTTATCATCTAAAGTCGACAAAAGTGTTCATAATAGCTTTTGTGGTTTTCCAAACTCACGGCTATAGTGTACGATAAAATGGCAAGTTTCCTTTTCTAGCCGGGATATATCCTAATCACATACACTTTAAATTCCTCAAAGGTGACTGGTGCATTAGCTTCTTTATCTTTCAATAATTATTCTGTAGAGTTGAAATCGGATCGCGCGATCGGAAAGTTTGCGATAAACCTGTAATCGGACAGTTAAAGTAGTTCCACTCAGCTAAATCCAGCGGTTACAGAATTGATTAAAATAACTGTAGGAAGATCTCACGCAACAACCACTTACCCGAAATACTGGTGTCTTCAGATGTAATTTTGCAAGCACTCGTATGATTACAGACCGAACTAGACTCCAGTCGTTCCTGTTAACATTGTTAATAATTCATTGGCACAGCTAAGGTCTTCAAACATTAATAACATAGATGTCATTTTATGTCATGCGAAACAATGACATAAAATGCAAAGAAAAGCCATCCAGTATAGCTTTCAAATATTTATTTCACAACCTTCTCCTGAACATGACAGAAATCCTCGATAGACAATGTCCTCGATACACAATATCTAAAACTTTTGTATTTGTATTATAGCAATTCGTTATAATTAAACCAAAATAATCTCAACGCACTCTTCTTATCTCTATCGACCATACGTCTCGATTCTGGGCTTAACAGCAGGTGACAGGAGATCTACCTCGTATCCGCTAGACCAGTCACGAGGGGTGGGGTGTATGTGTGTGGGGGGAGGGGGTGGGAGGGGGTGGGAATTTATGGGGAGATCAAGTAAATTGTTATCGTGACACAACCAAAATCCTCTAACTTCCCCTCCTCCCCCCCCCCCACGCGATCATGACCAGTCACTAATGAACGACCGACTACAGCTTTACCGCGTTATTCCAACTCGCACGTTCATCAAGATAAATAGCTGCCTTTATTCTAGAATTCGATGCTTGACAGTTAGCTAACCATGGAAGTTCCACGCCCGACCTTCGGTAGAATTTTTTTCTTGGAAGTGCAACTAAACAGCCAGAAAATATTGGTAAAAAAAAAACCAAACAGAAACAGAATAGTGGCGCGCACCGAGAGGGATCTAGAGAAGAAGAGAAACGCGGCGACATTGGACAATAGTCACGAGTTGGAGTAAGACACTTCCAAAATACACATGACCCCTGCTTTGAAACAAGGGTTATACAACGCTTGCGATATAAAAATAATTAATTAATGTGATCCAAGCAAAACTTATTTTCACAAGAAAAGTTTGCGTTCGACCCAGTTTGAAAATAAGTCTGTATTTAAGGGTCAGAGATGGCTGGCGGCTGTTCATATGACCCTTTTCTTTTACTCCTTACAAGCTACAGATATGTCTTTCCTACATCATAAACAAGTTTCCTTTGCCACAATGTTTTCCTTATGACAAAGCTCAGAGTTTCTTGCTACTTGAATAGTTTCTCTCTGTTTGGAATACGATCTATTTTTGAACAGCGGAACCAAGAACATCATACACGTGGAAAGTACGGTGACCACACCTGCGCTGAAGAACGCTACGTCGTAACTTTGGGTTACGTCATATATCCAGCCAGCAATGGACGGACCCGCGGTCATGGGAATGGAACGAAAGCAGAACAGCGATCCAAGAGCAAAGGCTTGCTGTTTCTTTTCTACCAAGTCTTGCACAATTAACGGTAATGAAATTACAAAACATCCCTCCAGAAATCCAAAGAGGAAAGCATAAGTTGCTAACCATTCATAATTAGTTGCTATGGGAACGAGTGTTGTAAAAACACTTAAAAGTAGAAGTGTTATTTGCAACGCAGTCAGACGGTTTACATAGCGCATGTCCATTAGCTTTCCAAAAAATGGCCGCACTATCACTGATCCAAACGCCACAAAATTGATCAGGAGGGCTGCTTGGATAGGGTCGATGCCAGAGTCTTCAGCAAGTCTAACCTGTCCATAAAGGAAAAAAAATGGAGAAATCAGAGTAGAAAAAAGAAAGGTAACCTCGCTCCTCTGTATTTGTATATGTGCTGTAAAGACCCCACAAAGAGTGCAGTGCGTCCCATAACGATATGGACTGACCATGCACGCTGGTACTGTGTTATATAGACAATCTCAGAAGGAACACACCCTTTCTTGGACAAATTTTGTTTGAGCCATAAAAACAAGGTGCAGTTTCCTTAGTCTTGAATCTTTAACAAGAAATGAAAACAAAACAACAATGGAGAGCATAAGTAAGGCCGAGTTAATACATCGACTTACCAAATGCACGTATGGTACCAAATAGGTAGGCATAAAGAGGCATAACGCTACTACAAAAGTCATATAACCTTTGTTCTTGAATATTGTCCAGTCAAACCCACTTTTTCTTTCATTTTTGATGTGCAGTTGGTCTGATTTAGAAGGAGGAGAAGGAGGAGGAGAAGGAGCAAGTCTGATCATAAATCCACTAAACATAATTACAAGCTGAATCCCAGCTAATATTTGAAACGTTCTGGCCAACCCAACTCTTTGCAGCAGATGAGCAACAAATGGAGTCAGAGCTAAAGTACCAACTGGTGCGCCAAAAAATACAATTCCATTAGCTAAGCCGATTCGCGCGCTAAAAAAATGTGGAAGCACAAACAAAGCAGCACAGTTACAAAGACACGAACCAAATCCCCAGACTAAGCCGTAAGTTAAATAAAGTACGTAGATGTTCGGAGCAAACGAGGAAGTAAACATCCCAACTGCGCATATCACTCCACCAAGCATGATGACATTAGCAAATCCAAACCGGTTACCAAGGATGGCGGGAATCATTGCAAATCCATCTGACACACCGGCTGCCAGAGCTGTTACCCAAGCTAAGGAGATAAGAACACACTGTCACTGACAATGCATGAATGAATGAGCAAGGTCGTTTTTATTGTTAAAATAAATAAATAAATAAATAGATGAAATAAAACTCTTAGACGAAACGCACAAGCCTGAGATTTACGTTCCGACGGATTTCACCGAAAGGGAAGGGACTGCTCGTTGTGTCAGGTAACATTTTAGATCATAGTCATATCGGATAGATATCTGATAGTGACAGACGATTGGAAATCAGTCTCTGTCCACTGTGCGATGCTTAAATGGTGCTCTACGTCTACAGCACCTTCAGCACACTGACAATGTTGGTATCGTTCGTCCTCTTGTCAATCAAGTGAGCTCTCTAACCAAATCACACGTCCGGACACTTTTTCATTCCACTGTTACTCGCCTGACAGTCAGTAAATTTCAAAGAAAATTACGAAAGAAAAAGAAGATGTAGCATTTATTAAGCATCTGTCGGCTAGTTTTTAGTGCTTAACGACCATGTTCAATTAGATTGAAAACACAAGGGAATGAAAAGTCATATCTTTCTACAGAAATGTGGTAAAAGGAAAAAAAGTATGAGGCACATGACAATTAATTACACAAGAGGATGAGATCTCTTTTGTAATCGTAACACAAGGAGCCCATATTCACACGATGAGTCTGCGTATACATGTAAAGATGTTTACGACGCGCAATGCGGGAAATATAAGGATTTGCACGGAAATAAACGGTCGATCTCACAACCGAAAATATTTGAACTGGTTTTGAGTAAAAACAAACTTACCTTGCTCAAGAGGTTGTTCCTTAGTATCGTGTGAGTTTTCTGGGCTGATGTAGGGCCGTTTAGATCGGTTTTAGTTCATTTGCTTTGCCCTTCGCTCCGAAACGTCAGCTCAAGAAACTCTACACGGTAGCCAATTATAAGATAAACTAAATCCGAGCTAAGAAGCCCTGAATCAACCCAGTTTTTCGTTTGTGAGCTCGGCGACCTTTTATTTCCACACAAATCCTTATATTTGGCCCATCGCGTAACGTAAACATTGTGCGCGATCGCAAATATCCACATCTCCCGCTCTATATCGTGTGACGACCACTATCTAATATGATTTTGTGTTAGTGTACTCACTTGACATGGCTTATTGCAATTTTTCGACGTTCTTATCGGCGAATGACGAAGGGCAAACGATCGAAACGTCAGCTTTGAAACTCTTTATGGTGTTGTGTGATGACTGTAAATTGAAATTCAAGCTCGGGTGGCTAGTGTCAGGGTCGAGTCAAGCTCGTTCACTTTTTCACCTCTTTTGAGTACGTACCAGTAGTGATTCTAACTGGATAGACAATTAGAATGTTAAAAAACGAAACAAGATTTCTTACCAGTTTGACTTCGGCTAGTGTTGTTGTATTCATTCAATACTGCCGTAAATATTAATCCAGAGAGGTTCCCTTGAGCACAAACGATGCATTGGATCAAAAATCCTGCAATGCATACTACCCACGAACAGCCACCATCAAAACGATCTTTTTCTGTGGCGCCCGAAGGAAAATTTGGGCTTCGCGTGATGTGTTCGTGTCCTTCATCATCTCCATGTGCGGTAGCCATATCTTGTGGTCAGCTAAATGGCCGCAGATGGCGAAGAAAAGGTTTGGCAATTCTCATGAAATTTTCCTAGAAAACCTCACATTGAATCCGTAAAAGTTGACGTTTTTCCTCCGATCACTTACTTGCTAAAACTGACTGTGGTTTCCCCATACACGTGTGGAAATGGATATTCCTTTGCTTGATAATTGATGGCTCGGCTCTGGGTGACCTGACAGATACGAGCTGATCGGATAGTTCAAAGGATAATTGCAATTTTAGAGAGGGGTGGGTGGGTGGTAGATTTGTCATTACCTCAATATTTGATCTTACATTATCGCCACAAAGTTTTTTCCTTGACATTGAAATAGTACATTTTTTCGTGAAGCTTAAAGCAAGGTTTTCTTTTTTTTCTCGACCAAATCAGAAGAGATACCTCAAGTGAATTTATGGTTATACGATTCGCCTTTTACCAGGTAAACTTCAGAGTATAAAATCGGATACAGATGGCTCGACGCGTGTTTCATCCGTTCAGAGAGAAACTTCTATGCGGGAATACTTTTCTCTGAGGTCTGCACAACCGAAAAATCCTTCAGCAAACAGAGATAAAGCAAAGTTCCAAATGAATGACTATTTTATCTAAACGGAATACTGAAGACATTACTATTAATATTATTGTTGTCAATAAAGGAAGATGAGAGTGATCTTCGAAGTAGCGAACACTACTTGAGCGGTAATGAAAATAAAACCTGAAAAAAAAAATTCAGGCTTGTACGGGAGTTGAACCCCTGACCTCTGAGATTCCGGTGCAGTGCTCTACCAACTGAGCAACAAGCCCACCTGATTACATTATCCAAGAAGGGGTAGTAATGATTCAACCTTTCAAACAAAAAAATGTGTTTATCACGTCCGCTTAGAATTAGGGAATCATAGAAAAAAAAAATATATATATATAACACACACCCACACACACGCGCAAATATGCATGCTCTCTTTTGGCAGGCGACACATGCCAATAGCAGTCAGAGGTTGATTGAGTATTAGCATTAGCCCGATGCATTTGCCTTATTGCAGTTCTCGGCTTTGACGGTTTAACGTCGACAGTATTAGTGACTTCTATTGCTCGCTCGTTCGGCGTTTTAATTTTCTATTCATTTCTTATTCCGGCGAGAACGGAAACTAGATTTCTGACTTCTGTGTGCGCTTTCATTAGATCACATGTCGTCGACAGAAGGAGGACAGAAAGAGGTCTTGTATACCCCAATATGTGCTGACTTAAGACTGCTGACGTAATTAAGCTTAACTGTTCCATGGCATGAAGAAAGCTAGAGGCATCATGTGAATACTTGCCCGTGGATTGTCTCCACTTCGGCAACTGCGTCATAGATCTTCGGGTAGTTGGCTAACAGCGTGGAATCTACCCTGGAAAGCCATCGGGTATCACTCAGAGTTGGTAGACTCTCTTGGTGTTGGCTGGTTGTGAATAAGCTTTCTTCGTGCTCCTCTCTTGGGTAGTTGAACAAAAAGTCATCCACTTCGGAAGCAGTGACTAATATCTCCTTAAGAATTCCCTTCTCTTAGCGGAATATGAAAAGAAGAAGGTCAGCTCTTCAAATGTTATCATAAAGTTCCTGATTTTTTGTACTTTATTGCAGCTGGCAACAACGACCAGGTTCAAACAGGGACTCGAGTGGTGGTAAAAGTATCTAGCGTCAGGATAGCGCCTTGTTATCCTTGCTTGGACACTTGCGCGTTCCCCACTAATGTTAGAGGTGCCACTAAAAGCCATCCCCCGTAGTCGATCGAGATGGATCCCCCATTGACTGAGGTTCTCGAGAATTGATTCAGTTATTGTAGCTGCGTCAGTGGCGGGTAGTTCTACAAAACCAAGAAACAATTCATGTACAGCGATTGACAGGTGATAATCTGAACTAATTAAAACTGTCAAGTACGGACTTCCGATTTCTATCATTCGTTGATGTCATGAATTATGCAACTTAACAATAGGACAGACTGTCACACAATGAAATCGTTACACAATATGCTGGAACTTTCACGACAGAGGACAAATTGAATGAGGAGTCGACTGGGGACCACAAATGAATTGGCAACGAAATCAGTCTCTGTCCACTTTCTAAATTCATTTCGATGTTCCTTCTCTACAAACAAGTTTCCTTTGCTGCAATTATTTCCTTTTGATAAAGCTCAGGGTTTCTTAACAGCCGAGGAATTTCCTTTCGTTTGGAAAGTGACCTATCTTGGAACAATGGAACCAAGAACATCAAACATGTGGAAAGTAGAGTGACGGCGCCTGCACTAAAGAACGCTATGTCGTAGCTGTGAGTTACGTCATAAATCCAGCCCGCGATCGAGGGACCAGCGGTCTTGGGAAGAGAACGAAAGCAGAACAGCGATCCAAGAGCTAAGGCTTGCTGGTTTTCTTCTACCAAATCCTGCACAGTTAAAGGCAATGAAATTACAAAACATCCCTCTAGAAATCCAGAGAAGAAGGCGTAAGTTGCTAACCATTCGTAGTTAGTTGCTATGGGAACGAGTGTTGAAGAAACACCTAAAAGTAATAGCGTTATTTGCATCGCAGTCAGACGGTTTACATAGCGCATGTCCATTAGCTTTCCGAAAAATGGCCGCACAGTCACTGATCCAAAAGCTGCAAAGCTGACAAGAAGGGCTGCTTTGATTGAGTCGACGCCAGAGTCTTTGGCAAGTCTAACCTGTAGATAGGAAAAGAAGAGCAGCAAGTTTTATTTTAAAATCACCCCAATACTATGTATTTATGAAATGAACTTGCAGTAGCCAAGATGTTGTCTATTTACCAAATTTTACCCATTTTTCGCTTTAAAAAGGGTTCCAGAATCAACATAGCGAGCGCACGCTGAAAGAGAAGGTCCCCTTCCCTTTCCCGCTGAGGGAAGACTTTTTCCCGAGCGGCCTCTCAGCTTACCAGGCCGATTCAAATTCCAAATTTGTTGCTCGACAAATTAATGTCACGACGCATACATTTATATTAGTACATAAAGAAGAGGATATTTACCCCCCAAAATTTTTTAGACTTTCAGAAACCTTGATACGAGATCCGGGATGTCTTACTGAACAAAAGTATAGCAACAAGGAATCTATTATGCAAAGAGTTTTAACAACCTGAAGAAAGCATCGATATCACGGAGATGACTTACCAAATGTACATGCACTAAGTAGGCGGGCATAAAGAGGCATAACGCTACTACAAAAGTCATGTAACCTTTGTTCTTGAATATTGTCCAATCAAACCCACTTTTTCTTTCACTTTCGCTGTGCAGTTGGTCTGATTTAGAAGGTGGGGGAACAAGTCTGATCATAAACCCACTACACACAATTACAAGCTGAATCCCAGCTAATATTTGAAACGTTCTGGCCAACCCAACACTTTGCAGCAGATGAGCAACGAATGGAGTTAGAGCTAAAGTACCAACTGGTGCGCCAAAAAATACAATCCCATTAGCTAAGCCGATTCGCGCGTGAAAATATTGGGGAAGTACAAACAAAGCAGCAAGGTAACAGAGACACGCGCCAAATCCCCAGACTAAACCGTAAGTTAAATAAAGTACGTAGATATTCGGCGCAAACGACGAGGTAAACATTCCAACTGCACATATCACTCCACCAAGCATGATGACATTGGCAAATCCAAAGCGGTTACCAAGGATAGCGGGAATCATTCCAAATATCTCTGATACGCCCACTGCGATAGCGGTTACCCAAGCTGAGGAGACAAGTACTCAACGTCATGAACAAACAACTACAAAAAGAAATCCAAAGAACATTGCAGGCTAAAAACCTGACAAACTCTCTAAGTAAGGTTGGTATAAACAAATCACAGAGGCCTTTCTGTCGCATTCGATTTCGCGTGACTTATATCAACTAATGCAGCTGTCGTGTTATTGTCATGATAATGGGAAAAAAAACCTCCTTACCTAGTTCATCAAATTATTAATTCATCATCACACAAAATTTTTCAGTCATCACATTTGCAATGAAATAACAGTCAACTCTCCGCTAACGGACCCTCTCGTAAGGAGACAGTTCTACTTAGGGACATTCTTTTCAATTCCCGTTTTTGCCTCCCTAGCAAACTCTTTATTTAAACATTCTCGCTCCTTTTCTTGTTTACGCTCTCTCGTAAGCTGGACACCCCCATGCATAACTGACTATGGCCAATAGAATTTAAAAATAAAAAAACGTAACCTTTGATAGAGCAACAAAACATTGGATATCGAATTTGCAAATCTTCATACATGGAGAGCAAGCTGTCGGTTCGTTTGACATTAACAAGGGTCAAACATCACACTGTTCTGTAAGCGGACAACCACCGTATTTTCTTTGGTGTCTGCTAAGAGAATATCAACTGATATTCATTTGTGTCTGCCTAGGAGAGTAATTCTCGTAGGCGGACAGTTCTTGCTAACAGACACTTTCTCCAGATCCCGAGGGTGTCTGCTAACGAGTGAGTTGACTGTATAACTAGTCGCTGTAAAACCCAATCGCTCTGACGAAGGGCTAACGCTCGAAATGTCAGCTTTTCAACTCTTAACGGTGGCCAATTTACGTTATCAACTCAGTTGATAATAAAAAATTACCCTGACTGTATAACTAAACCTACAGAGCGAGCTGGCATGCTACATGGACCATTTAGATGGGAGATATTTCCTGATATCAAGGACAACGAAAGAAGTTGATTGTTTACCTAAATTGTAATATAATTTGTAATTAATTTGTAAATATATTTTTAACTGTACATCTGATGTTGTACTTATGAAAATTAATGGCAAACTGGAAAGTGCTGTCAAATATTTCCGTATGTCCTTCCGATTTTGTATTTAGAGTAGGAAGTGTCTGTTGTCACACGTCTTTCAAGAGACGACGACAGATTCTCATACAATCCTTGTATAGGGAAATAATTCAGTAATGAAGATTCAAGTAGTTGTAGACAATCTGGTAGCATTCTGATCTTCATCTGACCAGTCTGAGATAAAACTTTTTAAAACTGCAAAAACGCCCCACTGGTGCCAATAATAAGTCGACCTAAAGACGTGCGTGACATGCAAAACAAACGCCATAATCGGCAAATTTAGCGTCATGATATGAGGACACTTAATGTGTAGTCCCGTGATTAGTCTTTGTTTGGTTTGCTTTATGTAAAATTTAATGTTCTTTACCGCTAGTTCCATTCATGTTGCAAGTTGGAGTGATAGGCACTGTAACATGTCGTGCGCGGTACCCACATTTCTCCATGCTGTGATATATTTTTGGTATTCTTGAAGGTATGCGATGTCTAGCCCCATGGCTTTCAGTTTTCACTCGTCCTAGTACTCTATCAACAATAAGAATTTTACCAAAGCCAATAAAAGGATAACTTACCAGTTTGACTTCGGCTATTGTCATTATATTTATCCAGCAATCCAGCGAAAATTATTCCGGAAATATTCCCTTGTGCGCCAACGATGCTTTGAATCAGAAATCCTGCCAAACATACTAACCACGAACACCCACCGTCACGGCGGGTTTTTTCTGTAGCGTTTAGACCAAAATTTGGGCTTCTCGTATTGTGTTCATTTTCTTTATCACTTCCATTTCTCTTCATATCAGATTCCGTGAATAATCTTGGGCTACTCTTCCCGTAAACAGCTCAATTCTGGTCAGTTTGACTTCGTAATATTATGTATTCCCCTCGATCACTGACAGGTAAAAATTGACTTTGGTTTCTTCTAACCACGTGCACCATCGAAAACGAATATTAAAGATCTTTTGTTTTCACGGAACAGATGTACATAAGAAATCTTCTTTGTCCAGCTTAGGAAGTACAGGTGGTCACGGGTCACGCCGATCAATTCTCCAAAATTGGAACCTACAGTGCGTGATTAGACTCTTTAGCATCCATTGTTTGATCTTGTCACGCAATGCGCTTTGAGGGCGTACCTATTTTCCTTCGCTAGAATACGTGCTGCGTTGTGGGATAGGTTGAGGACTTGGAATTCAATGAAATAAATGAACCAAAAAAGGGAAGATTTTAAAAACGCCAAACATGTTGAATGTTTAGCTCAATAATATTAATTTAGTCAAGCAAACAAGATTTCAGTCAACACTCTTCTCACTCTTCCGTCTCCATGGCTTCTCTCCTCAGAGCACGTGTTTGCCATGTGGTGGGTCTCAAACATTGGTGGCAGTCAAAGAAAGTGCTCTCCCCCACAGGAGGTGGGGTAAGGGTACTACTGAAAGTTTTAATCGAAGACAATCTGATATGAAGTCCAATCCACCTTTGTACTTTCAACTCCTAAACTTCAAGGATGATCCTTACAAAGCGTATCCTTCACTGTTAGCCAGATTCCCTAATACGGCTGTTAACCCTTTTGCTCCCAAAATCTCATTAGTAACTCTCCTACCTGTTTGCCATGAAATTCTCACAAGGTTAGCTCTGAGAGTTGGGCACTAGATCAGTGAATAATCTCTTAGTTGATATTTTCTTCATTCTCATCACTAGCCTGCTTACTTTTGTACTGATATTGTAGGGAGAAACTCTGTCTTGGTCACCCAAGGGAGTTAAAAGGGTAAATGGAATTTGGAGCTACCCAATCAATGAAAATGTTACCTTAAGTCTTGAAACCAGAGTTTTGTTTCACCCCTCAAATACAACTTTGGCCACTAGCCTGTTCTCATGATTACATTACAAGCTGCCTAAGCTTCTAACATTTTTATTTAAGTTCCAAACTGACAAAGAATTTAAATTAAATCATCTTGTTTAGTAGGGTATGGTTGTGGTATAATGCTCTGAGTGAGAGCCTCTGTTATTATCAGGAACTCATTTCTAAGAAACTACACTTAACAAATTTCTAATTACAGAAAGTAATTTTTTGCTAACTTCAAGGCAAGTTTCAGCAACAAAACATTTCATGTGACTTTCGCAATAATCTTTGTCCTTGCAACATGTCATACAGATTCAATTCAGGTTTGAATTTGTGCCAGTCTGAGATTACCTGTTGCTATATTTCATAATACTGAAATAAAACTAATCAAATCAATTTCACTGCCATTAAGATTAATGACTAATGATTTTAATATTCCATAATTCAAAACCACCTTATTGGAAAGGCAACTGGGTTTCCTGCAATACTTGACATGAGTAATCTCATAAACTAATATCAATCTCACAATGGCTACTCTATTTCCTCAAAAATATCTAAAGAGCCATCCTAACTTTCACAAAAAGAGGGCATACTTATGATAATGAGATCAATCAATATATATGTTTTAGGCCAAATCAGAGTCATTTTATTAAGAGCTGTTAGGCCAGGATTTAATTGACTCTGAGAAGAGCCCAAAACATGTTTATGCCTAGGAACATAAACTTTGTTACTATCGTTATCACTTGGAGGGCACTCAAAAAGATAACAACCAAACAAAATAATAACAAAACAGTCTGAACACCCATGTGAGGCTTCTGGGGAGCTAAAATTTGTTTTGCCAAAATCTACATTTCAGCCCACAAAATGGGCCACATTGCCCAACAAAGTAATCATAATTTTTATATTTCTTATCAGAAAAGTGGCCTTCAGCACTCCAATCTCCCTTGATAAATGGAGTGGAGATAGGGAGGGGGAGGGGGGGAGGGAGATGATCCATCCAGGGATATCTCCCACCAGGGGTGACCCCACATGAAGGTGATCATTCAAAAATAGCTTAAACTGGTATCCAAGGATGAAGAATATACTCTCTCTACATATTCATAAAAATGGATTTAATATCCAATAAAGGCATCCTGAAAGTACAATATTTTCATCCTAAACTGCATGTAGGTATTTAAGTTATGAGCAGTAATTATTTTAAGAAACAATGTTACTTTGCTTTACTAACAACTCCAAGTAAATACAACTGTTAAGTTAAACTAGCACCAAAGTGAATTAACTGTTTTTCACCCTGTACACCTTAACATCAGTATGCAAGTTCTCCCAAAATTTCCTATGGTACTTTCAAAGAGAAGTTGTCTCGTAATCAAGAGCTTTTTCAGTTTGTGGTCATTTCCTTTATTCTCATGACCTTCATGGTTGATTCAAGGTTGATTCTCATTGGATAAATTAAATGCTAGACACTCTTAGGAGTTTGAGGGTCAAATAATGTGTGAAACACTCTCTGTAGAGCACTGGACCATTAAACCAACCCTGTTTATAGATGATCTAAATAAGCTGTTAGTAATAACTACATTACATGAGAACATTAGTGAGAAAATTTCAAAAGATTTACATCAAAACCTTGAGGCTCACCAATGGTTATCAACAAAGGCCAAAGTATCAACTATTGAACTGTCTTTTATAGTAATTTCTCACTCATACCATTTCAATAATGAGATTAAATTTCATGAAGATGTAAACTACATGAACAGGAATACAGTTCTCAGCATCTATAACCCTTTAACTCCCAAGATCTTTTCAGTAATTCTCCTTACTGTTCACTATAAAATTCTTCTGATGTTACTTCTGAGAATTTGGTATTGGATCAACTACTAATCCCCTAACTGATACTTTTCTTGGTTCTCATCACTTGCCTTCTTGATTTTGTATTGATATTGTAAGGAGAAATTCTGTCTTAGTCACTCATGGGAGTTGAAGGGTTAACTTATTTCCCCACATTTGTTCTCAACTCCTCTTCAATTTCTCTTAGCCCTTTAAACCCTAAGAGTGACCAGCATCCAAACTCTCCTTGCAGTAATTCTGCCAAGTCATTCACTTATATCAGAAGAATAAAGGAAATGATCACCAACCTAAGATCCTTTGATTGTAAAACAAATTCTCCTTGACCAGACTAAAGGGAATGTATTGAGAAGAGTATGGAGAATATGGATACTGATGTTAGGGTGTAAAGGGTTAAAACCCTTTCACTCCCTTGATCTAGATAATGTAGAGCTTTTCCACACTGTTCATCATTCATTGCCTATAGTTTTAGATCTAAGAATGAAGTAATATCCTCCTTGATGATAATTTTTCCACTTCTCATTGCTTTTCTGCTTGAAAATGTATGGATGTTGTGAGGAGAAATTTATGCTTAGTCACTCCTTGGTGTGAAAGGGTTAATCATTTGTGTCCTTGGGAGTTGATTGTAGATTGATAATTTAAAATCTAGTCAAAAACTGTAACAAAACAAGGACACCTGTTAGAACAGCTTTGGGATGGAGAATCCCCTTGCAAAGTTTTAGGAACTCCAGTTATAGAAATAAATCTTCTGCCAAGTTGGAAGGTAGTCCAGCAAAGGATTAAGCACAAGAGAAACCCCAGGAACATTCCCTTTCATAAATTTTAGGAAACTTAGAATCCTAGTCTTTGAGTAGTTATCATAAAATGGAGATCGCAAAAGATAAAAGAGAAGCCGAAATGTTCTTCTGGACAATTCTGATTTTTCCTCATCATTTAGTTCACTTGAATCACCCATAAGAGCTAATGATGTGACATCTACTCCACAAGAAATCAACCACGGCTTCCACGAGGTTTGTCCAAACATAAACATACTTGTGACGTGAAGCAAGGGTCTTGAGATGTAAAGGCTCTCAGCTACCATTCTCCTAGAAGAAAGATCGGTTGGTTGAGAGGCCGTCTTGGTTTTAGAGGTTCCCTCTGGGAGTTTCCAGGAACGATTTGGACCACTTGGTGTGGCGCCAAGGGACCTTACAACCCTTCCTGATCTAGGCCCTCGCCAAACTGGCCCTGTATGGCCGTTCGTCTGTGACCTTTCGTCATTTGGGACCGCTTCGTCTGAAATCTCAACCTTTCTCGAAGTGTCAGGATCTTCACGATCCACTTCCTCAGGTTTCACCAGTTTTGATCGATCAAAGGGTGGAATTAGAGGTGTCCGTTGAATTCCTGAATTATACTTGAATAGTAAGGCGAATCTCAAAGCAGCCTTGGCTATTTGTAAAACCACGACAATGATCCACTTTCCTGCTTCACCCCACAAACGACTGGCGCCGAGTTCGATAAACACCTCTAAATATTCAATGACAGTCAGCCACAACAATAAACGTTGTTTGCTCCAGGAAGATGTCACATCACATGCCAGACTGCTTCCTCCTTCACGAAATATGCAATCGTTTAGCAGCGTAAGAATTTGCGATGCTGAAAATACGAGCTCAGACAGTGCCTCAGACGCTCCGAATCGTCCTGGAAGCATGTACGACAGCGCTCGCAAAATGGATTCCACTGTCGAAATTGTCTCTGGATTGTGTAAGACAAACTGTTCATACTTCTGCCGAATAGCAGTGGCGTGTGTCGTCCCCAAAGCTATTAATTCCTGCGATGTTTGTAGCAAGTGCGATAGAGAAGTGTTCCCTTCCGCCATATCAGTTGCGATCTAGAGTAGGAGTTTGCGCATGTCAGAAATATTTTTGCGCTTGACGACGCGCTTGACGAAGTTTTGACCGAGGAGGAGCGGGGCTGAGCGAGGCGGAGCGGAGTTAAATCTTTATCAAGATATTATAAACAGTTTTTATTCTCTCGGTTTTCACTCAAAACGATTTATACTAAATGTAATTGCTTGGGTAACTTTAAATGTACACGCATCTTTTTTTCTTTCATTATACTTTCAATTTTGCATTTGGCGGCGTTTGAACATTAGTAGCGTATTTCCACAATCACCTGATCAGCACTGCAAGTCTTGAAATACCAATTGGGACAAAATAGAGAGCCTGACTAATCGCATTTTGTGCTCAAATGTCGTCTGTTTTCTTCTCTAAGGTAAATTATTAATCGATCCCAACCACCACCGTCGTATTAATCACGATCTACACATCTCATTATACTCCGCAACTATTTCGGCTCTCACTTCTACGTCACTCAAGTGTTTATTTTATTTTTTTAAAGTCCAATTGGATTTCCAATTGATCATCAAAATCATCAATACTGAATGTGCTACTGGTGAACCGGCTATTAGTATGCTATAGTAAAAAAAAAAACACGGTGTGCACACAAATACGGTAGAGAACGCAAAAAATCTTCAGCGACACAGGCTGGAATCAAGGCCTGTCCATGCAGTTTGTATGGTCGAGGAAAACTTCTGATGTACGACTCAAAAAACTGATGACAACACCATAATTCAATGCTCTCTCATACTTTATTATCTTGAGGCTACATATAGGTTTGAAATGTTCAACTGATTATTTGTCATCCCAAAAATTCGTATACCCAATAGTAGCGAGGTAGTTTTGTCCTCTAAACCCCTGCACAAATCTACTGATAAGTCTTATCAGCCGGCACTGCTCGAGCCTACAGAGAAAAAAAATGAACTTTGATTAGCATCTGAGGAGAAAGCCCGTTTCAGCTACGAACTTAGCCCCTTGACGGTCCTTGAACAAATGTGATAATTTGAAGAGTTCGAGTGCGGGGATACTTTACAGCCACGACGTTTAAAAAAAAAACTGAAATGGTTTTCAGTTTTAAGTCAGGTTTAACTAAAAGATGCCTCTCGAGATCGAAGGAAAGGTAACCACCCCTCTCGTTTCTGTTGCAACCTGTGCCTAAGGATGTCATAGGTGAAAACTCGTATAAGGGTGCAGTCGAAAGACTGAGATAGTTTTTAAGTTTTTTTATAAGTGAGAGCAAGAGATGGAGACATCATGACATATATCAAGAAAAAATAACAAATACTATTATTCAAAAGGCTGTTCCTTTGGAATATATATATGGCTTATCGCCTTGCAGGCAGTTTACTTTGTCTAAAGGAGGTAGTTACCTAAAGACACTGTGGCAGTTCGTCAGTTGGGGATCTTACAAGAGAAAATTGGTTTGATCAAATGAGTTGATAACGTAAATTGGCCACTGAAAAGAGTTTCTTAAGCTGAGGTTTCGAGGGTTAGCCCTTGGTAAGAGCGATTAACGATAGTATATCGCTATGGATTCGCGATTGAAATATAATGTTGAGCAGTAGAACGGAGGGCTCATCTTTACCTTTGCAACTCTCACGTACTACAGCTGGCAAGAGACTGGGCAGCTTTTTTAATTCATTGACCTCGAAAAGCCTTTTGTTGTTGTTTGACAAAATTTGAAGGAAAACCACTTTCTCTACTGGATTGTTCGGCCATCCGACTCCAACAGCAAGTATCTTCACCCCTTTTTCCTTAAAGACCAAAAAACGTTAAAAAGGATAAGGAGAGTTGATTCCTGTATTCTCTGTCTATCTCACCTATCTCGTTTTTACACTATGTTCAGCTATTGAAAGATGACTTATTTGAGTGTGAGAAACTGGGAACGAGAAAAGCAGTTTCTGCGAGAAAGGATCATGTCACCGCATCAAGATGAAGAACTCAGATTCTCATGTCCCGTTTCACGGTTTGCGGTTAACACGCTTAATCACGAGTCGCCGAAAAACTTATAAGGGCCTTATACAAAGCTGATGTAGCTTTCTTGATTAATGAATCGTTCAAACCTCTAATTCTTTCACGTAAGGCTCGTAATCGTAGACCTTCGACTTATATCTTCCATCACCCAAAATAATCAACACTTTGTCTCTACCATCCTTGTTCACTTTCCAGGTGAATAAACCGTTGTTAGCCATCTTGAGAGCCAAGTCCAATCTTGATTTCCATTTCAGTTCCACGCCGTCGAGTTTCTGACCAATGTAAGAGAGCTTTTGCTTTCCTCCACGACTCAAATCAAAGGCCAATTCTAACTTGGCCTTTGCGTTGAAGGTAATAAGACCAAACTGTGAAGCGCCTGACTCCAAATCAATGCTTCTAGCCAGATCCATGACAAACTCCTTCGTCTTTTTAAATTGCCACTTAGTGAAACTGAGGGACGCATCTAAAATAACTCCCATATTGACTGCGCAATGCAATGATGGAGACACTGCAATTGGGAATGTGTGAAATAACTTTTTAAAATAGTACTCAATAACACGTAAATACTTCTCACTTAAAATTCATTGACGAGTTGTGGACTAGAAAACGTAAGCATAACAGATAACTGGGGAAAATATCTTCTTCACGTTCAGTTGAGACTTGCTTAGATTTTAAAAATAATGACGAAACATTTAAAAGAAAACGTCGATGAGAAACTTGTATAATATCTATTGACGCTTACTGCTTGAAGTGGATTTGTCAGTTAATAACATTCAAAAGATTAGAAATGAGATAAACCAGAAAACCAAATAAGATTCGTATTTGTATGACAATTTTATCATGAGTAAGAAAATCGAGACAATAGTTAAAATGAAAGGGATCCTATATCATACAAATTTCATACTCACTGCTTGGAGTAGTTTTTTTAGGTGCTGAAAATAGAAAAGGAAAAAACTAATGGAATAATTAACTAAATATGCGTATAATATCGAGTTTTAACTTGATTAGATTTCAAGGTGTACATGTAAAACTATGAAACGAAAGACTGGAGGAAAATTGTCAACAAATTGTGAATTTCTTGTGGTAGAGGGCTTGGATTCTGGAAATGAAACGAATACGATTAAGATAAAGAAACACAACCTTAGGAAAGTTTATCACCGGCTTTTTGCAATGATGAAAGGACATTGAATGATGAAATGAACAGATTTGTGCCTTCACTGATTGATACAGATTTGCAGGAGGAGGACATAAAGAAAAGGAAAAACGTACTGACTTATGAATAGAAATTTACATCACGTTGATTCTTAAGCTGTTTATATTTTAAATTGTACATGTATAACTATGAAATAGAAGACTGAAAACAATATGTCAACAATTTGTGGACTCTTACACTCACCACCCGTGGTAGGAGGCTTGGCTTCTGGAAGTGAAAAGGATACGAATAAGGTGAAATATCATAACCTTTGGAAAATTTATCACAGATTTGAGAAAAATGACGAAAATAAAACATTTAGGAAGAAGACAAAGACGAAAAGTATTAAGATATTCATTGCATGCTGATTGCTTTGAAGTAAATGAGTCATGTACTGAAATTGAAAAATTCTTAAATGGGATTAATAACAGAACCATATACAGCTCATGTTTATGTGATACTTTACTCAAATTCTAAAAGTAAAAAGTAGGACAAAAAAAGGGAACAGAATCTACATCACGTAAATAATACACTTACTCATTGCAGTGGACGTTTTAGGAGCTGAAAATTTAAAAAGGCAAAGTATTATGCGAATGATTAATAGAGATCTGTATCATGTGATATTGACTTAAGTCATATTCTTAGTTGTAAAGATGCAACTGTGAACCAACAGACTGGAAAAAATTCATGTGTGCTGATTTGATACTTACCACTTGTGGTAGATGTCTTGTGTGCTAGAAATAAAAAGAATGTGATGAAAAGTTAATTACAGACATTGTAATATCAAGAAAAATATTTGAAAAAAAAAACAAAATTTTACACTCACTGATTTCAGTAGATATTTTAGGGGCTGAAAAAAAAAAAAAAAAAAAAAAGAAGTTAGTGCAAATCTGTATCATGTTGATTTTAAACTTGTTACGTTTAGATTTGCGCAGATAAAACTAAGAAATCAAAGAACGGATAAACATTTTCAAGAAATTTTGGATTTTATACTTACCTTTTGTGGCAAAGGGCTTGGTGTCTGCATGTGGAAAGAATACGAATGAGGTGAAATCACATAGCTTAAGGAAAATTTCACCAAGACTTTTTAAAATAATGAGGTAATTTTTAAAAAGAAGACAAAGACATAAAAAAGTGATATGGTGTTTATTGCACGCTAACTGATATGAAGTGAAGGTGTTAGTTACTGAAATTTAACAAAATTGTGAGATAATAATTTGCAATACCAAAAATACCTCATGGTTATGTGGTACTTTTCTAAGGATTGAAAAAGTAAATAATCATAAAATAAAATAATTAACAGAATCTTCATCGTGTATCTTTCCTCAACCAAAAATTACAAAAAAAAAAAGAAAAAAAAAAGGAGAAATATTCAGCATCCAGCCGGCAAAGTAAAAGCATTTACATTTCACTTACGTTCTGGTTTGATTGTGTAGACGTACAGAGCATAATCTTCTCCAACACACATTTTGGAATTATTCCTTTGTGTACTGCACTCCATCAAACCACACTCATTTTCCTTAACCATTGTACATTTTTTAGATGCACCATGCTGATTATAGCTGTCACCTCCACCCCAGCACTCGCCATAATACTCGATACCGAAGTACTCGTAGTTCTTTCCTTCCGCAAGTTTTGCACATTCACAGGTGAACCTGCGAGATCAAACAAAAGGAGAAGTTTGCTATTCAAAGATAAAGACAATGGTGGTATTTACATTCCAAGTGACTCTTGAGCGTCTAAGGTTATCCTGTTTCACCTGGGAAGATTGTAACTCTCCCGGGATTAGATGTTTGTCGATTGCAAGTCGTCCAAGCGTTTGGTCAAGAGTTCGTAAGTACAAATACACATGGATGGAAGGAGAAATTGTTAGAGTAAAATGTCTTGTCAAAGAACACAACACAACGACGCAGTCAGGGTTCAAACCTTTGCTTTTCTATCTAGTATCCAACACCCATCTCATAGGGTCACTGCATTTCTGTCAGATAAATTAAAATGAATCTATCAAAGAAATGTTGACTCATTTTCATTTCACCATTTACCTGTCAAGGAAGTTTGCCCAATCGTTCCAGTTAAAGGGTTCTCCAAAGTAAGACTTTGAATTTGGATCTCTTGCTGTAAGCAATAGGTCCGGTAAAGCTCGAAGAGAAGGGTCTTTTCTATCCTGAAAACAACCAACCGGCCTGCGTTCCAGAGAGCATTTAGGCTGTTGCGACTGATAACAGCCTGGGTTATAAGCCGAAAGAAAGACAACGAATCAACGGTTAGAAAACTTATTTCTTTGGAAGATCACTTAACAAATGTATATATCCACGAATATTCAGGGTGTACAAAGAAATACGTGAGAAAGTATTTGTTCTTTCACAAGGTCTGAATGTAATTTCTCCCTGTTTTCTACCATACATTTCTTGTTACATCAATTTTGAGAATTTGGCGTTAAACGAAGTAGATCTCCTCGGTACAGATCAGAGATGTAAGGTGGTTTTAACAAACGGATTGTTACAGAGTTTCCACCTTGTGAAACTATCTACATACAGAAACGTTTTTGTTAAGATAACTCGGTACCTATAATACTTGCGGCACGACAATAATTTACCTACCTTTTTGTAGTCTGTAAACGAACAAATCGAGAACTCCTCCAACACATATCTTCCCTTGCCCTCGTTGTTCGTGGCATGACTCGAAAGCACAGTTATTGTTCTGGACCATGATACAGCTGTCAGACGAAACTTTTCGACCATCCCTGGGGCTCGATCCGCCCCAACATTCTCCATGGAACTCGATACCAAAATAATCAAAGTTCATTTTTTCGGCCTTTTTTGCACATTCACAGACAAATCTATAAGTAAAATATCGTAGTGGTTTAATATAGCTTTATTAAAAGATCAATTTTATTGAAAAGCTTGATAGAGGACCCAAAGTAAATCACGATTGACCTGAATCATTTCATTGATCGTGTAGCCTGATCATCCGGGTAAGAGTGACCCTCACCGCTGGAGCGGAACGTTACTGACGCTTCGATGACCTTAGCGAAAGTCATCACAACTAATCAAAGGCATATCTAAAGCAGTTACAACCAAATTACATTCCTGCTTTCAAATTTAGTTCTTTTTTTCACTTGAGATCTCATTGGCCCCTTGCAAGTGGTTCAGTTGAAGGACTCCAGGACTCAGTCGAAGAACTCCAACTGAATCAAGCATTCACGCGAAAAAAAATGAAAGAAAAAAGATGTATTTGTAGTTACCTGTCGATAAAGTTAGCCCAGTCCCTCCAATTTATACTTTCTTTGAAGTAAACTTTCGATCTTGGATCTCTGGCTGTAAGAAGTAGTGTTAATAACGTCCTGTCTTCTGGGGGGTCTGCTATGTCTGCAAAACAACCGACTGGCTCGTACTTCTTAGGGCACTGAGGCTGATTGGATTGCCAACAACCTGGTCCGATCACTGAAAAGAAAATAAAGAAGTTCGCATTTACTTGTTCGTGTTACATAGAAGAGCAAATTCAATCAAGATCCAAGCGTGCTTAGATAATGAAATCTCAGCAATAGCCATTTGAATTTTGTGATATGAATTCTGGTTGAATACTTTTGGAATGCGGTGGAGACAAGGTGTACATCGAATAATGGAAAAAAACACTGAGAAATTTTTGATGTAAAACAAGGCTTCTTCCACGGAAATTTGAAGATTTTAAGAAAGTGCCTAAATTGTAGCAGTCTGTTGTCTGATTAAGTGGCAGAGGATTGTTAAGGACTGCTGTCGGCAACACTGAATGCTTTTTTGAACACCTGAGCGGAAGTCATCTTCGAAGTCAAGATTTTTATGATAAATTCCACTCAGGTTTTCTAACCATCAGTAATTGCATGTTGCATATTCTCAAGGTGACGATCAGAGTACATGATCAATTGTTAATCCTTGCATTACTTACAAGCATTTGATTTACAACTGTGCTTTTACTTACCAGCTCTCTTTGGCGAACCTTGGACCGAAGCGGAGAAGAGAAGAACAGTCACCGTGATTAGGTACCAAAATGTCCTCATCTTAAGGCTGATAAGGAGGAATAGATAAAAAAACCTACTTTTAAAAAAAGGAAGGGCTGAAATCGAACAGCACCTCTATACTCACAAGTCAGTAACAACAAGAAGCACATAAACTTACCCTTGCTTGTTTTGCTGGAGGCAAGTTAGTGCGCTCTTGCTACGGCAATAAAGAGAACAGTGATTGGAGCTGGTGTTGTTGAAATTTTCATATAGAAACTCTGACAAAAGTTTTTCACCGATTAGCAGCAAGGTTTCGGTTTTCCAAAACAAAACAATAAAATTTGATTAACCTTTCATTAACACGGTGAACTTCAATTAAATTGTATGAGAACTTGCCGCGCTTTTACACCTGAAATCGTTTGGCAAGATGAGACAGGAAAATAAAAATATTTTGTTAAAGTACTTCCCAAAACCCAATGACAAGACATATAGATCATCCATTTTCTCAGAGGAAGCATAGCTCTGATGTTCCATCTTTCATTTCAGTTGTACAGACAGATAACGAGACAGTGAGGTTATCAGTTCTTTTACACTGTTTACTAATTCAATACTTCTCCGTAGGTTTATTCAGGTGAAAATTAAAACTTTATTCAATTATAATAGATTAGAACTCTTTCGAAACAGTTACAATCAATGATCTGCTAGAGAAAGAAGTGTAAGTTGGGAACGTGACACCTTTCGCAGTTTCTTCCTCTTAGGGTTTTTTAAATTGTAAATTAAGTTAGTTAGTCAACTATACATTTCTCCGAAAATACATACTACTAAAATACGGCGATACTGATTATTGGTCACAGACTATAAATTAAAATGTATATAATATGACAATCATACATGTAAAATTTCACTTTAAAACCTGTTTTAAAACAAAAACCTGTTCATTGTTTAAGAGAGAAAAGCTGCTATTGGCTGTGTTACGTTTGGCATACGCTAACAGCTGCAGATATTTCTGATAATAGCTTACAGATTACGATATATAATCAATTACATTTGTGCTTTGACAGACGTGATTTTTTCTCTCACACTTTTCAGCTGGCAACATGACCACAAAACTTTTTCTTTCTCATATGAATATTTAGTAATCTTAGTAGTACAGCTACAAAAAGTATTAAACTTAATTCAATTTGTCGACCGGTCCTAAGAGGCTAATTGCCAAAATTAAACTTACGCCCTTTTTCAATGATAGTTTGATTAATTGATCATTTACAATGTACTGAGCGTTAATTTAACCTCTTTTGCAAACTGAGACCAGCACAACACAATTATTAAAGTTCGGAGACAAGTAATTTGTAGATCAAACTGATGTTTACATTTGTTTTAATGTAGTGTTGTGTCCACCAATTCTAAGAGGTCACTAATGTGTTTAAAGTCCCTCAGGAAAAGGCTCCGCTGGCATTAACTTTCAATTGCAAGAACCTTGACACTCGAAAGATATGAGCTACAGACTATGGGTTTCATGGGGAACATTAAAATGATAACTTCGCCTACATAATTAGTTATTTACTTTTCTCATTCTCTATGGCAAATTCAACTAACAAAAAAAAAAAGGACTTTCCTAACAGCAGAAAGTAAAAAAGGTAAAGTCTATACTCGAGCCAAGTTTCCCAGTCAAGCCCACGAAGTAAATAAATTAGAACATTTTATCAGGCTCTCTGGACCGGTGCCTGTTTATACTCCTGGGTGGCCTGGAGATAGACTCTGAGAGGGTAAAGCGTTTTGTTCAAGAACACAACGCAATGACCTGGCCTGGTTACCCAGACCTCTCGACCAGGAGTCCAGCGCACTAACCGTTAGGCCACCATCAGTGGCAGAAGAGTACAATTTTAAGCGATTTTTCTGCAATACCCCACGGTGACCTTCATCAGAGAAAAAAGTAACAATATGGTAACTTTCGAAATAAGATACGGATTTGCTTTGACTTATTACGAAATGTACCATTATAATGTACCAGGTGTTCACTGCAATAATGATTAAAGAAACACACGCAATGTTTTTCCCTCCTATCCAAAGTTGAGTTGCAGCCTCAGTTCTGGAAATACAACAGAAAAGCAGGAGTGAAAGTGTATTTAACTACCAAAGTTATCTTCATCATTAATGACGTCGTCACAATTCGCATGGAACTGGCAAAAGTTACTGCTGCTGTCTGTATGCTGTATATAAAGTTCTACGGTCATTCTTGTTTCACAGAGGTGCTGTGCACGATTTAGTCGGCTTCAAAGCCTCTTATGATTGTTTTTAGTATGACTATGATTATGTCTCGTTTTTGAGAATCGCATTGCTATGAAAGCCTGAGATGATTCGTTTTCAATTGTCGTTTCCAGACTACTTGGTGACACATGTAATTGACTGATTATAGCATTATTTATCGACCGTAGAGGGGGGTTTGGGGATTTGGGTGGTGATCACGTGGTTTTCAGGTGGAACGGAGGGGAGATTGGACAATCGTCGCTTCAGTTCAGAGAATAAAGGGGGCGCTATAAAAACTTGACTGCCAATCAACTTCCAATGAGGGGAAATAGAAAAATGTTCCAAAGCCTTTTGGGCAGATCAGATAACTTTCATCGTGAAACAACCAAAATCCTCATAGCCCCTTCCTCCCCAGCAGACTAATAATGACCGACTCCGTATACATACACTTAAATGCTTCATGCAGTGGTTTAGATTAAAGGAACACAGAAGCCCGTCTACTTTCCTCCTACCCAGAACTGAGTTGTAGCGTCAGCACTAGAAGTACAACGAAAAGCAGGATTGACAGTATTATAACTACCAAAATTGTCCTCATTATCGACGACGTTACCACGATTTCCATTGAACTGACAGAAACTTCTGCTGCTGTCTGTATGCAAAGCGCTTTGGTCTTTCTTGTTCCACAAAGGTGCTGTGCATGATTTACATTCATAGCCTCTAACATTGATGATCTCAAACTTGACACACTTTGCGACAATTGGAACTTGGATATTCATTAGGTCGAAATCTTCAAACGAAGTTCGCATGTAGTCACGGTAAACCACCCCGTCTGTGTCATAACGGCAAGTGGCTCGCCAGTGAGTGGACTGGGAGCCAAGCCATGCAAAGTACGATGGACGGATCAAGTATGTCTGCCAGTTTGGTGTCTCACCGCTGACCGCTTTAGAATCATCATAGTCGGAAAATACAATGCTCTAAGGAAATAGAATATATTGAAATCTTCACTTCCACTGATTACCATGGAATTAGTTCGGTCAAAATGGAGCTCGCTGGGCAAGAACAGGCAAAAAGACCACCTTAGTCAATAAAGTGATAAAACAAGGGACCCGAGAGGGGTGGAGGAGGGTCAGAGGATTTGGTTGTGTCACGATGAAATATACCTGATCCCATCCATAAGGCTCTGTAATATACTCAGGATCTCCCTTCCCCTCTTTAGCAGCTGATTGGCAGTTAATTTTCCATAACTCCCCCCCTTTATACTCTGTCAGCGACGACCGATACCCCCTCCCCTCCGATACCCCCTCCATTTCCCTGAAAACCATGGAATCCTTCCTCCAAAATCCTCCTCCCCCCTCAGTTCCTAAATGAATCTTTAATATTCTCCTAGGATCAGTCGTCAAGATTGTGCTGATTCTCTTTTCGGAAAGAATGTAATTTCAGTCAGTTCCACTTTCTACTCGTGTCCCTGTAAATTAAAAAAGGTAATGTTGTTGGGAATGATTTATTCAAATTCAAAAAGGTTTGGCAGATTAGCCTATTGATGAGTAGCTTTTTTTCATGGAAGCTTATATTCAATTCCTTTTATCTACTCTGAACTCAGATTGTAAAGGGAATACATTTACTTGAACAAGATTTTTGTTGGACAAACTGAATGACTCAATCAGGTTCCAAGCGAAATCAGGCTCTGACTCAAAGTCACAGAACACTGTGAAGGTTTGATTGCTACCATCAGTGACTTTGTACAATCCAGATGAGTTAAAGCCGGCTGCTTTGTAATCCTGACAACTTCCCGGCTTAGTCTCGCAATGTTTCCCAACAAACAACTCTGGACAGGAACAACTGTACCGTACACTTGTGGGCTCACAGATCTCAGTGCAGGTTCCACCATTGAGACACAGATTGTTCCTGCAACAGTCATTGCCACACGTGACGTCACCAACACATGGAACCATATCGCTATTAATCTGTTGAAATAGTTTGATTCGGAAATATATATTATATGTCTCTTCAAAAGAGGAAGACTATTGCGTTATGAAAACGTTTTCTTAACTAAACACGTTCATTGAAGGATATGGCCTGTTTCACCAACGTGCTGGTTAGCGCATTCTCTTTGATCTGCTCAGACAGCCATAGGACGTCATTCATTTTATATCACTTAACTTGGGTATATTTATCTATATCATCTTTCATGTATTGCGAGTTTATAATTAAGACTAATTGACGTTCTTCTCTATTTGCACATTGCTCAATACCTGGCAAAACGAACGAGAAATATCTACTGTGAATTTAACTGATTACATATCGGTATCTTGGTAACAAAAAAAAAGAAAGAAGAAAACCTGCCTCGCTGAATGTCTTTCAGCAAGAACATGCAGGATAAGAACAGAATTCTGAAATCATTGTTTCATTTAAACTTAATTTCAGTAAAGTTGTTATAGGAAAAAGCAAAGAGTAAAAAAAGGAGAAACCCAAATTTGAATTTATTGGCATATAGCATAAGCAAACAGCATTAGCATATATTTTTTCGATTTTTGGAATCGTTCGAAAATTTTTAATCAACATAAGATATTCTCAAAAATTTATAAACAATTTTTCAGCGTAAATTTTGTGAAAATTGTCCAGCCGCCGAACATATCGACAGAGAATAATGTTGTATGTGAATAAATTCCTATTTGGCTTTATCATGTTTTTTTTTGCTTTTTTCATCGCCAACGTTACTGCAATTACATGTACATCAGAGATAAATTGAGAATACAAGAGGATACATAGCTGGAAAACCATTGGCAAGGAGCCCCTGGAGAAGGAAAAGAAGTGCGAACTAGATCTGGTTGGTATCACTGAAAAAGGGCGTTGTTTTTTCGCACTTTGTAATCAGGATATCGTACGTTCTATTTAGAATATTCAAAAGGCAAAGCGAACCAGAGTTTTGAAAGTAACTACAACTTAATTCTTTTTTGGAAGGGATGTATTTAACAATAAAAATTGATTTCAATTTACAATCGCCTTGTTATTAACCTCGTAGCAGAAATAAGAGCATTGAACAGCCAATTGAGACAGTAAAAAAGTTCTTCTGATTGATTCGTACAATAAAACATCACCGTTTTTGCATTGATTGACGTACAATTACAGCAGCAAAATGAAGAACAGGCGATAGTGTTAATTACGAACAGGGGAATCGACAAGCTATTCAACGGCAGAATGTCTGGAGAAAGCAACCAATCCGCGATTACTCCGTTGTTTGGTAAAAGAAGGAACGTAGTACTCGATCGGTTTGTAAATGCTAGTAGAAAGCAACCTGCCATTGCTCCTTGGTTTTTGCAGTAAATGAAGAAATAAAAGACTCGATCGGTTCGTAAAGTTGGAATGTTCGCTCATTTTTTTGAGGAAATAAGGAAAGGTAACCTCCCAAACATTTGAGGTAAATAACCAAAGAAAAATTAGCGCACGATGTTTACAATTGAAATTCTCTTTGACAGCTCTTCTGACCATGGTGGTTACTACCTTGTATAGATTTCCCAAAAAGAAAAAAGGAAAAAAAAAGAGGCTTAGATGGTAAAAAAGAAAAAGCAAATGCATACTTTGTTCCAGTTACAGCAGTTCACCTACCTTTATAAAGTCGTCCCTGCGGAGATTGTAATAAGTTGAGCCCAGAGAAGGTTTGAGGGAGCTCTTGTGCGTAAAATGATTTGCTTCATTCAATTCACAGAATTTTCCTTCATCTGTATCGTTGTAGTTAAATGACAAGCACCGACAGTCTTCGATACACCACATGTAACACTGAACTGGACTCAATGTTTTGGAACTGTGAAAGACATGGCCAACAAACTTTGAATCTTGCACCGCATCTCGATGCACATCAAGTGAAATTTTCTGACATGTGTCACTGAGGCAAACGCTCTTAACTTGCAGAAAAAAGGACGCGAATGAAAAAACTTCGACCAACGTCATCATTTGATGGAGAAATAAGAGCCTTGCTCGTCACTTGTTCATTCTCAGTATCACTGACAAGTAATAGACGTCGGCAGACAGTCTTCGCTTATAAAGTTGTGGTCAGCGTTTTCATATAAAAACGGAAGAGCGTGGGTGTGCTTCATTGGTAAGGGTAAAATGTAATTCATGCAAAAACCACTTCTTTTGTGTTTGTTGATGAAGTCGCTTTGCCTCAATCACTTTGTTGAAGAGCCCGCCTCATGAATCTTTAACAAATTTACTGTACTGAAGTGCGATAGCAAAATGAGCTATATAAAATATTGTAATTTGGTATTATCAACTGAGTTGAAAACGTAAATTGGCCACCATAAAGAGTTTAAGAGCTGGCGTATCAAGCGTTAGCCCTTCAGCTTTCAAAAATTTTACGGTGGTCAATTTACGTTCTCAACTCAGTTGATGATTCTTAATTACCCTGTTATACTCTCCAATCGACGCAGCACCAAAGTTTCTTTAGAAACTTACCCCCTTTATTCATTTGTATAAAATATGGATCGACTCATTCGTTGACAAAATAGAAACATTCCTGAAACATACATAAATCGACCAAATGAAAAATTAAAAGAAAAGAAAAAATATTCTTAAGAAGAATCTTTGACGAAAGGTGTCCGTAAAATGCAATTTGAGAGTCCGAGAAAAAATGTAGCGAGTAATTCGTCTTCAAATCATATGGTTGCGACTCGATCCTTGTGTTACTTTAATCGTAAATAGATGGTAAATAGATCATAAATAAATTGCCTTAGACGTTTTGGTGTGCAGTATCGATAAGTATTTTTAAGAGTTGTGTCCTATTTTGACGAGCCTGCAGGGTTGTGTCCCGAGGAATACATTTTAGCGATCTTAAAAGCTTACCTGAATTCAAGTTCTTTTTTCCCTTTAAGTGATTGTCGTAATTGCTTTGTCTGGGAATCTCTTTTGAATTTGGACAATTTGGAGTATCTGCGTTGAAAAATTACGGACGATGGTCGGCAAGTCCGATTTTTATGACCGATCTATTCACAATATAAGTTGGGTGGCCTGTGTAACCAACATAACGACCATGCTGCTCCTAGCTCAGTTGGCAGAGCGCTGCACCGGTATTGCAGAGGTCATATCCTGTACAGGTCTGAGTTTTTTTTCAGGCCTTATTTGCACTACTGCTTAGTTAATGAAAGATCGCTTTCATATTCAGTGATCTAAGCATGTGCCACTTTTAAGTCTTGTAACAGAAGTAATACCTGGGCTGAGGGCTATGTTCTTCTTAAGAGCTTTGGCTAACCTATTACCACGCGGGTATGATAAAAATAGTCAGGATAGCAAAATCACCCTAAAGTATGGTCTCAGGATTCTGTAGAATAAGCGTTCTCAATATCATCCTCTATCTTGATATAAATGTCGACACTGGAAGAAAACGGACGATATATATATAGGCCATCACTCTCAGCAGTCGTTTGTTAGCTGAAGGGAAAAATATCCACTGTAAACTTCAATTGGCTTCTCTTACAGTTCAATACGACGGTTTTCCTTAAACCATAGGCATCCCAAGCTCACGTCTCGAGAAAATGCCCGTTCTTGGCTTTCTTTGCTACCACTGTTAAGAAAGAGTCTTATGACGGGAATAACAGTGATGGCAAAGCCGATCATGCTGAAACACAGATGGCAGATTGCAGACTGTGCAGACCGCGCTTTGTTCGCTGGAGAATTTCGATTGTTACAACCCGCGAGACACTGACAAATTAATTCAATCGACTTCGATAGGTTCGATAGGTCTCCAATTTCACCAGAATTATGCAGTTTTTTCAAGCCGGAGAAAAAAAATTACGTTTTCTCGCTATATTCTCCTCTACTTGGACTTTTTCCCAATCTCGAGGTCAAGGTCATTTTGGCTTCTTGTCAACGGTACGGTCGCCAAATAATAACTTCAGGGAGAATGGAGTTTTTATCCCAGAAATCGTCAATCTCGAGCCCAGGGTCATTTTGGCTCCTTGTCAGCGGAATAGTTACCAAATGATGACCTCTGGGGGAATAGATTCATTTAATTATTTTGATTGGTTGATTGGAAAACAATAGACTCCACACAGGAAGTGTGATTTAAAGAGGGGATCGATCGGGCTTGAAATAGAGCGTTAACAACGATAAATTTTACTGTTTTTATTATTGTTGTTATTTTTTTTGCGTGAACATTTCCACTTGTAAACTGCATGTCGATGCGTGAGAAAATACCCAACCAAAACTGCTGCATGCTGCAAGGACGGGGTTTCATGGAACGATGGATTTCTGTCGTTGTTGTCAACGTTCAAATAGAAATAAATCAATATATTAATTTGTTTGCTGTAAAGAGCAGAAAAAGTTGTTGAAGACTGAGAGAAATACCATTTTTACCTAATTTATCTTTTAAGTGTGGAAATGATATAATTTAGTCCTTATAAGATCACAAGCTTAAAAGTTGTAAAATGTGGACCTTCCATACTTGTTTGGTGTTTTTTTATAAAACACCTAGCTCGGTTTAGCAAACAGAATCATGCAAAAGAAAAATACTGGTGTAACCTTTTAACTTGTGATGTTTTCAAGGTTTAAATTTTATGATTGCTCTCCTGGTTCTGTTGATCTCTAGAAGGGATGTGGATATTTGATTTATATGCATGTGTTTTCAGTAAACTCAGGCTCAAATAATAGTCTTAAAATGTTGCAGAACATAACACATCAAGTAAGAATTTCTATTTTTGCTTCCTAGAGTTATTTTGGAACAAGTTAATAGTGCAATGGTTGTTGAATAGTTCTATTCTTATTTGAAATGATAACAAATTACATTTTTAAAGGGTCATTTTGGAACAAGTAAATAGTACAATAGCTGTTACATAATTTTATTCTCACTCGCAATAATAACAAAGTACATTTTCAAAAGAAACTTGTTTGGCATGTTTTCAATGTCAAGTAGATCAAGGAAAAGTTAGAAACGTTGTCTAAGATATTTTGTTTGTTAGGGGCGACAAAATGAGCGTTTTTGTTTAAAAAAAGACACTACGAGTTTCGAAACATTGCTGTTTTTCTTTGTTTTGTAATCATCCCGGCTCAAGTGCAGTCACCTCTATAATCATCAGCTGTTGTATCAGGAGGAGAAGCAGGAAGCCGTCTCTGGAATCTAAACCAATACCTTCTACAGTTTGCCGTTGCCCCATTTCCTCATTCTCATTTACCTCTGAGCCCAATTTTCTGAAAGAAGATGAAACTGCTCGCGCCAAATTTATCTTCATTAAACTAACTACCTTTCAATCGATTAACCCTGTGCGGGAACCTGAAAACAGCGTAAAGCTGCGCAAAAGCTTATCCTTCATCTTTCACTTCCGAACTTCCAGGAGCACGGAATGGCACACAAGAAAAAATGTGGCTATTTTCTTCTGGTTTGTAAATTCCACTTTCGATTGGTTACGATGATTTTTAAGTTCACGTACACAAAATGAACTTCCGTTCTTTCTTTTTCGCTGGTGTACAGGACAGTGTGCTCTATTTTGAGGACTTAACGGAAGCCATTACTTAAGAATGTAGTCATGCACAGTTAAAACCTGAATCCTAGGATTTCTGGAATAAAAATTCCATTCTACCAGAGGTCTATTTGGCGACCATACTGCTGACAAGGATCTAAAAGGACCTTGGGGTTCGTGATTGACTTTTTCCGGGAAACACTGCATTCACACTGTCAAGCTCTGGTGCAACCAGATTATGACTTCGTCGTTGGAAGAAAAGTTTTCCTAACTTCAACTATGAAATAAGCCTCCTCAGAGCCTTCATCTGGTAGTAGTTGTATCGACTTTCATAACTGGTGGTTATAAGTGTGTTATTACCTGAAGCGAGGAACGGAGACAACTTTTCCGACTCGTTAAAAACTTAAGGACAAACAGCTGGGCGTCAGGGACTTTTGTGGCTGGCTAAAAATGTCAGTTTGAGATTGTCGATTTAAATCCTGTGAATGCAATCTGGCCACACAAGAGCGAAGATAAACTCGTTCAAACTGATCCTCCCTCAGACGATGGGATCGAAGCCGAGATGTACAAGATGCTGTTTGATTTATCTAATGCTGATACTAAAATTAAGGGAAAACTGTTTATTACAAGATATCAAATAAATTTTCTCTTCCTGATATTCTTGATAGAACTATGTAGCTCATAATGTAATATCAGCGGCTGTTTTTGCAAACTTGAGGTCGAGCCCAAACCTACAAGCACGTAGATTGCAAAATCTGTCAAAAGACGACAAAAAATTAACTGTAATGCCTATCTTGACAGGTAAAGTGGGTTAAGTCACGCAATTCGAAGAAATGTAACAATCACGAGCAGGTTACAAAATCAACTGAGAAATTTCAACAACAGCTCGAAACGTCAAGAAGAAAGGTAAAAGCCGAAAAAAAAAGACACAGGCGTTAAAAACAGGAGGAGATCAAAGCAGACTGTTATCGAAGATAAACTTAACAAACACCAGACCAATGTTAGTCGCGTTGATACCAATTAATCCGAACGTGAAACTTACAAAGCTTTAGAATCTCCTTGTTCATTATATTGCCGTGATTTCGGCCATGTGATTGCTACATTTCCAGTTTCATTTTAAGAGCTCATAATTACTGATAAGAAATACGTGACCCAGCTCGTTTATGAGGTATACCCATTTTGAACTAGCCAAGAGTATCCTCAACATGTCTGGTTAGGGATCAAAACAGCTGTAAGTGTGTTGCTGAACGCCCCGACCTAGCGCTGACAAACACACGTTTGGGAGGTTCATCAAACGAATCCTCATCGGACACTTCTTTATTTTCGACTATTTCGTCGTCAGAGTCAATATCACTGTTGTCGTCACCTTTCAACAGTCGTTCAATTCTATCCGCTTCTTCGTGAGGGAGCTCAAAAGATCTCAATCCGGAAGCATCAGTAATGATCTCGTCAATACGCACACTGTCTATAATGGTGTACGGTGAGTTCCCTATCGTCTCA